CGGCGAGCCCGGTCGCGAGTGCACCCCCCCCGCGCGCGCGTTACGCACGCGCGCCGCGCGCATGTAACGCGCGCGCCTTATTTCGCGCGTAACGCGCGCGCGCGTAACGCGTTATAACGCGCGCGCGTAACGCGCGCGCGCGTAACCCGCGCGCGTAACGCGCGCGCGCGCGTTACAGTTTTTGCGCCTTAGAAAGATGAAAAATTATAGCTTAATAATAGATTAAATGAGCTACTTCTAGTTGTAGATGTGGTATGATACGAAGGGACCACGCTGTTCTTGCATTTGAAACGGAGTCTCATCTAAGGGATCGTCCCCATCGAAGAAGGGCAGTGCCTATGTGCGTGGCGTAACGAGAAGCATCCAGCACCTCGTTTGAGACAGATGGCATGCGGAAACTGTGTCAGTCAATTTAAGACTTCTACTGTGTGTCCGTCAATAAAGCTGCTACCCGAGGCTAAGAATAATGTGTTGTATTACTTATACTTATAGTTATACTATTATTTTGTAGAAGTTAGTAGCAGGACTGCTAGTGTTACTATAACTGTATATATTGACAGATGACCACCGACATCGAAGAGACCTAAGTATCCCTGTATGTAACTGACCGATGTCCTTGTATTCCACCTCATCTTCTAAGAAAAGTCTGGGAAACTACCAGATTTTTGACAGTGAAAAGCTCTACACGGCAGACTACATTCCAGGCATCTGCTTGCGCAAAAAGGATGTCGAGCCAGTTTTCTAGGCCGTGGCCATCATCTGGTGGTGTTGAATGCAAGAACTCAATTTCTGAGTACTTTAGAACCGATGAGCCTTTATGCTTTTGCTTTTCATCTACTTAAGCCTTTTTCATGCATCTACATCTACGTACATCTACTTAAGTCTTTTTTCCCGCCAACGGCACTTCACTTTATGTTTGCTCCATCATCTATCTCCCTCATGCACAGCGCCCAAGTAAGTCGATAGTTGTAGATATTGAATAGAGAGACATCTTGCAGCAATGGAGTCTTACTTCCACTGGTATGATCGAGGAGGGACCATGATACTGATACGGCGTACGTGATGGCACGGGCACGGCAGACGGCAGTCATGTAAAAAATTTGGAGCAACACCAGCTTTCTTCTTCTTCTAAATCCTTGATGTCTACTTACTCTATGCACTCACTCCGATGGTGAGTCGTAAAGTATTCCTGGGGAGTGTTGGGACTTATAGATTCTTTCCGATTGCATTTCTCGTCGTGTTCGAGCAACAAGAAAAGATCTTCTGAGAATGATCTTCATGAAATGAAGGTCCCCCACGAAGAGGTGTGGAGGAAGCGAGCAGCGGGTTGCAAAAGATCTCAGAAAAACGAGATTTGAACTTGTTCAATGAAAACTGAGAAGTATCATAATCAACAAGCCTCCATTGTTGAATGAAAACTACAGAAATAAAATGCGTGGGTCCCCGAAAACACACTTCCCTGCCGTAATCGGACGTCGGAGTGCTCCTGGTGTACCCCCGACTACGTCCTCGTCGCCATGTAGAAATAGGCTTCTCCATCCAAGAGCAGCGGACCCTACTTCTAGAGGAGGATGGCAAACTCCTACCTCCTCTAGTACGACTACGAGGAGAACAAACATCGTGCACTTCAGCACGACCAGGACCGCAGCTTACCAAGCACATCGACATCAAAACCAAAAGGACTGCTATGGAGGTTCATCATCATCATCATCATCATCATCCTCACGGACCACCACCGGAACAAGTAGATACACCAGAGGACAAAGTAAACTACAGCACCATCCAGACGACGCTTTGACATGGGATACGAGTGAAGATGCAGATCCAACCTTTTCTACGGCCGATGCATATGGAATGCGTTATGAAGATCATGGAGGTAGCGGTCCTCGTCGTGGGGAACTACTAGAAGCAGAGGATCAAGGTGTCAATCGAGCAACTTCGCAGAGGGGTGTAGAAATAGAAACTGTTGACCACCACAACGAAGAAACAGAGGCGTTTTTCGCATCACAGCAACCTCTTCAGTCACCTAAGCGTTGTCTAGGCTGCGGGAGTCTTTTCCAAACAGCAGACAGCCAAAAATCGGGTTATGTTGACCCCCACATCAAAGAACAGTACAACAATGGAGGCGGTCGTAAGAGGATACTGAAGCATCCGAGGGGTATACCTGTAGACTACGTTCCTAGCGGTGTGGAAGTGTTGCCGAACGATAAGGGCAGGTTCCGCCAATTCACACGATTGCTCGTGTGTCAGCGTTGCTGGCGTCTACAAAATTACAAGTGTTTACCAGGCGGTGGAGGAAGTGGTGGTGGAAAGAGAAGTAGGTCAAAAAACAGTCTAGCGACATTGACTTCACCAGAGGTGGACGAACATGTGAAGGACCATCCTGCTGCATCCTTACTAGAAAGTACCAGCAAAACGATGGTACCTGCTCCTAGTGCTACATCCTTGTTGCCCGCAGAAAATGAAGCGTCCTCTACTTCGCCGTCTATGCCGTCCACCTCAACAGCGTCCACCTCTTCTACCTCCTCACTCCTAGAAAATCCGTTTTACAAGATGCAGGCAGACGGGCTGCTTTATAAGCACCCGAACGAGATCATAGACAAAGTCGTGTCTCGTATCCGACCAAACAGTGTCGTCTTACAGGTCGTGGACTTGCTGGATTTCGAGGCCTCGCTGTGTCCAGAACTCTATATCGCGTGCCGAAACAAACAATGCTCTGTTAAGGCTTGTCCCATGCAACAGTAACTCTAAGCTGAATAGGGAAAGCGTGAGGCCCCTAAGTAGAACATACAAGAAGGATGAAACTTGCAGCTGGTCACGACCTCCTCTGCAGCTGGTCACGACGGACTGTACTTTCTCTTCTAGTACAGTCGGTCCGTCGTGACCAGCTGCAGAGGAGGTCGCGGCTGTAATAGTCAATACTCGTACATCAAGGGGCGGGGGAACAACTTTTCTGTTTTCTATCATCTTCCTCCGGTCTGTTTTTTTTCTAGTCAGGTCGGCATCGGCTCCACCACAACTAGTACTTCTACAGTCCGTCGTGATCGTTATGCCTAACTACTAGTAGATCGTGTAAGGAGTCAGTGTCTTCCTCGTAATCTTAAGACTTCTAACTCCCTTCTCTTCGTGGTGAATAAGATTGACTGTTTGCCTGCAAAAGCGAACCTTCCACGAATCAAGATGTGGGTTCGAAACATGGCGCGTCAGGTTAAGAATGTTCACATCGCCAACGTTGTCCTACTTTCCGCGGCGAATGAGACCGGTTTCGCTGAGCTTGAGGCCAGATTGAAGACTTACATAGCAGATCTTGATCGAGATCATGGCTCGCGTGTAAAAACTACGTCGAGTGCAGCATCTGCCTTCAACGCAACACAGCAACATGTGAAGAAATATGAACTGCTAGAAGAGGGCACGGGCTCTTCTACAAGTAGTAATAGTACTTCGTCCACCTCGACTCCACTAGGACACGAAAAAAAGCTGGATCCCAATCAAGACCGTCGTTTCATTTACGTGACCGGACGTGTGAATGCAGGCAAAAGCACGTTTGTGGAGAGATTTCTGCGTTATATTGGATACAAGCATTTACCCAGCATCGATTGGAAACGCGGAGCAGGTGGGATCACACGGGCACCGGTGCCTGGAACTACAGCGAACTTCTTGTCGTTTTCTTTGTTATGGCCGCGGTGCTTTCAAGAAGTTACATCATGGAATCTAGATCTACTCCCGGAAGGTGAATCCTCTTTCTCTCTGGGATACTTTTACCCGTCGCTTTCGTCGCTTTACATGTTTTCTAATTTCCCCAAGAAATTTCCGTCTGATTGACACTCCTGGCATTCCTAGTACGCACCAAGTGACGAGTAAATTGAGAACCTGCGAAGACCTGTACGACGTGGTTCCTCGAGCAAGACTACATCCACTGACCTACGCGCTGAAACAAGGCAGATCTTTGCTGATAGGCTCTCTGTGTCGGATCGATCACGTCGGAGGAACGTTTGGGTTTGTGATTAAGGCTGAATCTTGAAAATAAAATCTCATAGTCATAATTAATGAGAATCCATCTTTTATTACCAGCCGATGGATCTTCACTCAGGGTCTAGTTTTCTTTCAACTTATTCTATTTCTAGTAAAAAAATGAAAGAACAATCAAGTAGATGATGAGCAGGCAAGACAAAGATGGATCATTGTTGTTGAAGAGCTTGCTCTAATCTGTCAAGCTTCTTCAGCAATCGCGTCACGCTGCATGTTTGCAATACCGCGAAAGCGAACGACACTTTGGCGAGAAAAGCAGGAACCTTCTTCTATCCACCGCATAAGAAGGAAGATTTCGAAGCTTTGGACCTAGTATCTCACAAAGTGCAGGTATTTGGATCAAACCATCGAGCTTGGGACGACATCGTCATTGCTGGACTCGGCTGGATATCAGTAGCAGGGTTTGGAAGCAAGGAGTTTCAAGTCTGGGTGCCTAAAGGCGTCAAAGTCTTCCGCAGACCAGCGATGATGCCATACTTATGATTGAGATGATTGTGTGTGGCTTGTATACCCCTACTAACTTGATGAACTTGTTGTAGTGCATGAACATGGTTTGTCTTCAAGGTTAATATATATTCTATTTCGAGGAGGTACCACTACCATGTTGTAGGCGTGTTTCATCCTGCTTGCGATCCCGCTTCAAGCCAGAATTATGCACCTTTCTTCCTCCACCTCTAACCTCTGAATTGTGTGTAAATGGTGTGACGCGCTTCTCGCATAGGCTACGGGCTCGTGGCTCTGCAGTAGGGCGTAAGAAGCGAAAAATGGTCCGTCTTTTGCGCGATCGAGATAAGAAATACGCACTACGGGACGAATTGGCGCAAAAAGAGGAAGACAGAAAAGGGACAGTAGTTCATGGGGATACCTATGAGAATGAGAATCAAGGAGTAAAGAATGAAGTTGTAGATGTGGCATATAGATCAGAAGAAGATGAAGAAGGGCAACATCTCCAAACGTCGCATATAGGAAAGCTGCAAGCGTTTGAGGATGCAGCTGACGAAGGAGATGACCTTTTTGATCACGATGAAGGCCGTCTTATCGAAGTAGATTTGTAGGAGCGGAATTATAAAGACACCTAATGAAGATAACGATAAAGACGAACACGCTTGCTTCACGACATACTGGCTCGAACACTTCAACGCACTAGCACAGACACTCTGATACATCTCGACCAATAAAAGCGCAATTAGTTGTTCACATCTAACGACGCGCTTTTTTTTAGCGCTGAATGTGAATGTACCCCTTCATCTTCTACTTGTTGTGGGATGTCCTGAAGATGACGGTTTTTCGATTCAGTGAAGGCGTGAGGAGCTGTAGCCCCGACATTTTGTTTCGCATTGCTGGGCTAGGTCTTTGGTTTTTCTGTCGCTGGTAATAAAACGGACAGCCAGCACACTACTAATCAAAGAAATACATATGAAATCTCCAAGATGAGATCCGAAGCCAAATGGTTCTGCTATGAATTTTCGCAAGACCACGAGGTGGGACCATTTACTTTTATTACGTTGTTCGCCCTGAAAATGAAAAAGAAAAATTTGAGAGAATCAGTTGTAGTTCATGTTTGTGAACACTAGGACTGCTTATCTTCACCCTCAAGGTGATGCGTTTTTTTATATAATAGACACCATCCTAATCAATAGTAATTTCTGTGCCCTATATAATTCCCGGCCTGTTTCATTGGTGCAAATCGTGAAGGTTTTGCATGATTCTCATGCGGTTGCAAAGTTGTCAAATGTGTGGACCTTCTTGCTCATAAGTAACACGATAAGGATCCACATCATTAGCATGGTACTCCACTGGTGTGATCTTTGTCACTATGAATGGGACTGCCATGATTTCCATCACGTTCATGCTCTTGATGATCTTCATACTCATGAAAGTACTCGGATCATCTTCTTCATCTTCTTACTTTATACATTTGCAGAACAGGGGAACTGGATCAGTTCAACGCCACCTATATGCACATGCAAAGTTGTACAATCAGTGGCATCGAGTACCAAGAAAAGAACATGACAATGGACGTAAACACCCTTGTCCAACAACAAGTTCCTACAAAAGATGAGACTACTTTGCCTCCTGACGGTGGACGTGAGTGGACTACCCAAGAACAAGCGTTGTTGGAGCAATGGAACCAGTCTGGCGCGGAGCGTGTAGACATGCCTCTCAGTGCTAGAAATTGGCTTGATCCGCAACGAGTTCAAAGGATATGGTGCTTCTTTCCGAAGGAGCAAAAATTTCGAGGATTCGTTCACTACACGGAGACTACAGATTATGTCCAGACATTTTTTAAGCTCAAAATTGTCTAATTGAAATATGCTGCACAGATGAAGCACTTCCTCTCGAAATTAATGAGCGACTAATACTCACAGTGACGTGCTTCTTGGGTGTGGTAGTACTAATTCCCATGATCATGCATTTTCCTCCCTGCTCATTCCTTCACCCCACGGATTATGCTCTGCTCCTCTAACTCCCAGGCCCTCCAAACATCGTGCATGGAGGATGCATCGCGAGCGCTTTAGACGTCGCGATGGCTAGGTGCGCGATGGGAGTTTGCAATAGCTACAAATTGGTCACTGCGAGTCTAGAAGTTGCATACAAACTCCCTGTCCCGATGCCAAGTACTGTTGTGGTATGAGGAGGAGGAGGAGGAGGATAATGTAGAATATAATATTGAGATAGGCACCATAGGAGGTGGTGTACTTGTTGGTGTTGAAGACACGAAGCTTCACTATTTATTCAGACCTTAGATTTGGATGAAACAATGCATCATAGTTACTACGAGATTCTCCTCAGAAGCAGATGAGCATGAACTACAAGTATAAGTACTTAGAATGATGAATAAGAGAAACAAGATAGCCCCCTTGTTCATTCCTAGTCGAAGCCGAGTGCACATCGAGGGACGACGCTCGTCACCGCTTGACGATAAGCTGTAAAGTGGTGGATCTAGAGACGCAAAGAGTCGTGTACAACACAGGCTCAGCTGTTTTTGTTGATCTGGAAAGGAGAGCAGCTGCGGTGGGGCCAAGTAAATGAGCATGAGAGCAGAGGTCTGCTTAACAGCATGAACATGAATTACATGGTGATATTAAGGCGATGATGAACATGAATTACATGTAGTTGAGCAGGACAACTTGAGAATCTAGTTCGTCAACGTTCTCATTCACATTCAAGAACTTTATTTATAAAAGGGAGGTCTGCATTCGCATACGGGAGGTCCGCATGTACTGGTCAGAAGCGGATACCCTACATCTACATCACCCCATATACAACTCTGTATCTGCTCCAAGGCTATGCTGTGCTTTTGCAAAAGTTAGTGTTCTTCGTGTCTTCCGTGCTGACGAATGACTGGAGCTGAAACACGATGTCCTCTCTCTCTGTGTACATCATGAACCGTCCCTGAGAAGCATAGTGGTCAGCGAAAAGAGTATATTCAAAACAAGAATCATCTGGAACGCTTTGTCTTTCTTGAAATCATGAAGAACAAAAAACGTAATTTCCACAAAAAGAGAGCGAAGTAGAGATGTCTCTTGTTGTTGATACTCCCATTACCGGGAGGTCATGGTCTCGCCCGTTATTCTAGCTAGCTGCTAAACAATGTAGGCTACTCGTACTCCTGACTCTCATCACGTCGACCTTTAAGAAAATGTCGCTTGACCGATACGCCTTCGTGGGTGTGTGCGAGTCACTTTTGGCCACTGCAGGAGGATGCTCATACGCCAAGGAAGACTTACATTCAATCTTTGACCTGTTAACTCGAGTACGAAAGTCGGATGCGAGCCGTGGTGGAGGGTCAAGTAGCTCGTCTTCAGCATTATGATTGTTGATTTGGATGACAATGTTGAGAAAATGTCATCAAGAAAGTACTAGGATACTCGACAGAGAACTAGAAGTAGTGAACACAGATATAGGAGTTCAATTTCTTTCTTCATCCTCTGTTTCTGTAAGTGACAATGTGACGATAATATGACAACTTTCAAAGCGATCTGAGTCGATGTAGAAGTAGACTGATTCTTTCCCTGCTGCGCACATTCATCTACACCGCAAAGACAAGGAGAAGATGTCGCTCAACCCGAACAGCAACTGGAGAACAAAGCTGCCGTTGGCGGAGCAGGAAGTGCGGTCGCAGTCTCTGCTAGTGACTTTGAACGATTCCTCCGCATGGGCCGAGCTGCTTTTCTCCCTGGCCAGTGGGATGACGAGTTCCCACGAGCTGTGGGGAGTGGAAATTCGCCACTACCACGCATCCGCATGTGGCTATTAAAGCATGCTTGGATCATGTACGATCTGCGGAAACACTTTCAGCAAACAAGTGGTAGCACAAGTGCTTCTGCTCCTGAGTCACTGGGACCCATACCAAGTAGGATGACGCGAACCGTCTTCGAAGAAAAACTCAGTGTCCTACCTCCAGGCACACTGTCGAAAACGGCCAAGGCAGAGTTGTGGAGGAGTCTAGCACAATCTGGTGGAGATGAGAAGATAGCGTTAGAGGACTTCATCGCAGCCTTGTTGGACACCAAGGAGTACAGACAGAACCTTCACGCGAGGTTGTTGAAAGTCGTGTTTCGGGCGACAAAGGTATACACGCGTAATAAACAACATGTTTTGACCCGAATTTTTTCTGATTATCGGACGGCTTATTTAGATTTTCCGGCGATAGTTGTCCCAAGGAGAGTACAACTTCGTCTTCGTGTAGCTACATAATTAATAGTCTTTCCATCTTGATCGCCCAACAAACAAACAGCGCAAAAACGGCGAGAACAGAGCACCCTTGTCCCAGAGGTTCCGTGAGAAGGACGAAGAAGGTAGCGGTTTCTTAACGGAGACAGAGATCGCTGAAGTCCTTACAGCCACAGCTGGCCGAGTCTTTATGGCGAAAGAAGATGTGCGAATACTAGGCAACGAATACCGAAGCGGCGATCTAGTTTCTTACAAGGTACAACTCTGGCTACCTTGTTGCCCTCTTACCTGTAATTCTGCTGCTAGGAACTGGGAATGACGTAGTAGAAGCAAATATGAAGGAGCAAAATGAATTTGTTTCCGACCATATCTAGTAGATCCCCGTGGAGAATGTACTAGGCCATCTGACACTATCCTGATCATGCCAGGCATTGCTTACCGCAATCCGCGAAGAGGAGCGGTCGTATGTAGAACACGTTCTAAATAGGGGCTTCGAGGAGCTAAACGAGAAGGGTGAAACCGTGCGAAACGTCTGCAATTCCAGTGGTGTTTTGGGCGTTACAATTCAGGGAGCGCAATTACGAAAGCTGTTGACCCTGTTAGGACTTCCTCTCTTCGGCGGCGAGTTCTTAGAGGACTTCGTACAAGCAATTAGTGCAGGTGGAGGAATCTCAATTGGAGGTGGTGAAGAGGAAGTTAAGGCTCTATCTTCCTTTGGAGTCACATTCACAACAACATAGACCACGTACATCTTTACGAATGACACTAAGTCGAATTGAAAGTTTCATTAACAAGGTACGTAGATGAAGACAAAACTCTCCCGGTAGTTTTCAGGTTGTACCACTTCTAAAAAAAGCAGCGCCCCTTCTCCTGCAGTCGACGTAGACGAGACTCAAAGGATATTGCAAGTGTTGTATCCCTACGATCACGACTTGGATGTTAGGATGGCGGAACGTAAAGGGAGCAAGGACAGCCTATCGGCATCCACGACCAACCTCAACACGGAAACTAGTGGTAGTGCAGTGGGCAATGCGACTGTAGTGGCGAATAATAAGAGTTATGCCTTGGAGTGGTGGGTGGTCAGGGTTTATTTTACTAGAGCTTTCATGTTCATCTTTATTGTTCCTGCTTAATCTCATGTATGGTTCTGGTATTTTTGGTATAGCCTGAGTTTGATCCTAAGGGTTCTCTTCTTGTGTTCCCTTATGATCAAATTGAAATTCAGGCTACCAACAAATACCGGAACCATTCACCTCAGTAGTGGTAGCTACTCGTATACCTCCGAAAGTGTGTCATCTTCTAACACCTCAAATTCGGACGCAAAGCTCATCTACTCCCCCTCCTATGGTTCGAGATTGCCTGTGGAATGGGGAGAAACAGGTTGACGCCCACGCGCGCCTTCCAGGCGTTAGACACTGGCAGTAAGGGTTTCCTCGATTTCCACGATATACGTCGAGCTGTCGCAAGTGTGTTGGCAAGTGGAGCCAGTAGAAAGGAACAATTGGCTTATGGAGAGCAGTCTGTTTCATTCAACAGTAGATGTACTTGATGCGGAGACAGAAACCATAATGCCGTAGCTGACGCTGTATTAATCGTCACTAGGTAGTCCTCATAGTCCACCTGATCTTCACTATGAGTACTTATGATGATCATCAGATGATAGACCCTCCCCGTCTTCTATGGTGTCCATCTAAGGAACCATAACCGGCGAAGAGCTCGGCATCTTACCCGAGGCTGCTGCCAAATACACGCTGACCTTCCCAGACTTCAAAAAGCTCACAGCGTTTATTAAGGCTCAACTTTCATTGGTCGTAGAGGTTGGTCACTGAAATCGAAGAGAGTCCTCCCCTTGAGAGATGAACCAACAGGGGCGGAAATAAACGAAGGGAGCAAAGGGGAGAGCCTTGGCGGGGGTCTCTTCCGTTCAGAGTCATGATGGCCAAGGAATGCTGAGCTTTAAGTTTAGACACGCAGCAAGGTTCGCACAGTGTCTGCCGGAGGTTTTTGCACCTGATTTTGGAACGCTCCCGTTGGACGAATTCGTGAGACGTGTCGCTGAAGCGTCGTCTGGCTCGTCTTCATCCTCTATGGAGGGTGGAGCTATGTTTACAACATCGACAAGGACAAAGATTCCCGATTACGAGGTGCGAAATTATCTGCAGTTGATTTTTCCGAATGGCATACCTGGGAATCAAGTCGATCGTGCATCTTGCGAAACCTTCGTTCGAGCGAATCAATTTCATGCACTCTCAACGGAGAGTTGTGCTGGAGTAGAAGCAGCGGAGAAGGAGGTTATGACAAGTAGCCGACAACATTCTAGATTGTTCTCAATAGCAAATTAAAGTATACGTTGTAAATGTGGATGTCACGACACTGCGAAGACCACTTCAAAAATATTGTGACACTTTCTTGTAGGATGCATGCAAACCCTATTAGGAAGCGTTTCCTGAATGGTATGACGCTAGTGTAAAGGATCATACGAAGAGCTAGTTGTGGTCTACGAATCTACTTCAACTCCTCTAACATCTCTACGAGTTTGAACGCCATTGCTGCTGCCACGGCGGGAGGTGGTGGAGCCTTCAGGAGTAGCGTGAAGAGTAGAGGTGGGACAAGTACGTCAGAGGAGCTCAAGCGTGCTCAGCATCAACTTCCATCGGACCTTCTCACCAGCGCGTCACACAAACTTGTCTACAACCAATCTGCAGTCAAGAAAGTCGCTGCTTTCGTTGAAGCTACTGGAGGAGGATCTTCTTCTGCGATGGATCCTGCTGAAACTGCGGTTGACCTTTCAGCCGTTCGCGAATTGCTAGAAGCCTGTCAGTTGGAGCCGGCTGAGAGAGAGGAGCTGCTTTCATGGTCAAAACTTTTGACTGCACTCTATCCCAGCGTCGGCATTGTCTTGCCTATGAGAACGCTGAAAGCACCGCCACCAACAGCGGGTGGTGTGGAAAAACTGGAAGATGTAGACGGGACTGCAGTTGTGGTGGAAAGTGGACAACAAGTGGAAGGTGGACGAGACGAGGCAAGAACACTCCCAGTGGCTCCCAGCACAACTCTCGCACGACCAGCTACAGATGACAACTTCTACCCGTTGCGCCGAGCTTCAGTTTTGTCGCTCTTGTCTCCCGCAGACACCGAGGAGCACATTCTAGAAGTTCGAGTCGTGGGCACAGAACTAGCGCCATTTTTGGCAGGAACCTCGATCGAGGGGGGCGCCGGACCACAGCCGAAGTACTTTTTGCGTTACTACTGTCATGGATCGAACTACATCGCTCAAACAACAAATTTCGATGCACCTGGACTGAGTACAAACTACTGCGCCGAATCCGACTTCCAAGCCGGCCACAGTTTCGTATTGGCAACAGGCGACTCGTTGTCCAATCTTCTGGCTTGTGGTGCTGACGCACCGATCGATGGTCTAGTCTTCGACCTCTACAGAGCGTTACACGCTACCGCTGGAGATATGTCTAGCGCAACGTCGCGTGGTGCCTTTACAGGCGTAAAATCACCTACTAGTGCCTTGAGGTTCGCAGAGGGTGGTGGAACAGCGGCCTTGGCTTTTGGAGGTACTAGTTCTACTCTCGGATGCGGGTCTTCACCAGGAGGGCCAATGGCATCATCGCCAGCTGGTCGGGGAGGTCTTTCATCATCTTTCGTCGGTCGATGTGTCGTAGACAGCCAAGCTTTGAAGGCGTTTTTAGATGAAGTCGCTGGCTCTGCAGGACAGTGGAAGGCTGAAGCGGTCCTTGGCGCCACGTGGGAACGCGCTATGCCCATTTTGTCGACGGACGGAACGCACCTTGGCCGCGTGTTTGTGTCGCTGTTCTATCAGAAGAAACAAAGAATCTTTGGGGACAAAGGGAACGGAGAGGCAGATCCCCCGGTGACTCTTGCAGTTCCTTGGCGCACGAGCTTCAGCGGAAGTTCCGTTCTTTCCTTCAACTCCCTAGAAGAACTCGCACTTCAACAAGGAGGCATGTCTCCAACGATGCTGTCGAGGAGGGTGAACGGAGCAGTGGAGATAAACAGAACGGGTAATAGAAGAACGTCAGCTGGTGCTGCCACTATGGGGGGTGGTGCATTCATTGGAGGATCCGCGACGTCGATGTTCAGAGGCGCCTCCACCACAACAGCTGCCGGGCAATTAAGCAGTGAGGCCAGCACTGTGTCGATTCAAGTTCAACTGAGCACCGGAGAATTGAATCCAGATTTATTCCGGAAGTTGGCCGAACAGTGGTACAAATCCAGTCTGCAGCCGTCGGTTTCGGCATCTGTTTAAGGCTAGTTAAAGTTTTTAGGTATCTTCACTCAAATTAATGTAGCAGGAGGTGCTCGTAAATAAGAAGTGCGCGGCTAGTTGTCATTAGCGACCCTACTTAGTCCTAGACAGAAGAACAAGTAAGTGCTGCACCTCTTATGAAATGCCACAGCGACAGCCACACGCTATAGCTCTAATTCCCTTTGGATATTCGCGCAGTCCGAGTTTTCGTCAGGATTGGTCTCTTTCCGAACCATCCGAAACTACAAAGTGCCTGTGGTGGTGCGTGGGTCGCGTCTGAGCCCAGACCTCTTAGTCTAGCTGCCCTTCTCCTTGGTTGGAGTGAGGACCAGGTGGTAAAAGGGAGCAATACTAGTGGAAGCAGTGGTGCTGCAGGTGATCAAGGAAAAGCTATTGCTGGTGGAAACGCGACAACTCCGACCGGTGCCAATAATTCGCTTGGCCCAGGAGCTCCTGCAGCCACCGCAACCGCGGCGTCTACCGCATTAGCTGCAACCTCTGCAGTCACCGCAGCAGCAGCTTCTTCGGCATCCGCTGCAGCAGCCAAAGCCGTTGCTGCCATGCCAGCCGCATCAACACCTTCGACTAAGCAGACTGCAACAAGTGCCGCAGCTCCAGCGAGCAGCCAATCACTTGCTGGCACTGACGCGAATGCGGCAGGCAAAGCTGCTATGGCTGGGGTTAGTTCCTTAACTGCTGGAATCACTGGCGCGGCGATGTCCAAAGCTCCTGCACCAGCAACAGCATCCCCCTCTCGCAACAGTGTTAGGCAAAAGCTTACTCCTTTGGATTTTGAGAGTTGGAACTGGAGTTCTCCACTCCTTCCTCCGAGTCCTGGCTTCTTCGCTGCTCTGAGATCCGACGTCTGCATCTTTGAACTATGGCTAGGCATCGAACAGCGCGACGACATCCATCAGGTGGATCAGCCAAAATCTGTGGAAGTTTGCCTATCGAAGGAAGTAGTGCCTCTGAAATCGTTGTTCCAACAGTTGGATCCGAAACAAGCGCAAAACAGTTTGCAGTTGTCGAAGCAGGTGACTTTCACAGCAAAGCCAGATATCTCAGCGGCTATGAGCGGAACTGGAGCTCCAGCCGGTGGGTCCAATATGACGGCAGCACAGCAGCAAGTAAATCGCCCAATGGGCGGTCCTACCTCTACTGGCAGTCACTACGTCAGCGGAGGAACGAGTATGGGCGCCGGTGCAGCATCCTCGGTGTATGGTGGTGCTGGCACGAGTAGTATGCAACAACAGCAAATGGCTCCACAGCCTGGCATGTCACAGCAGCAGATGATGAACAACAACGCTATGGCAGCACAAGAACAACTGCTGGCAACGGTAGATGTGAAGTTATCAGTGGCTTTGCCAGGTCCCGACGTCATGAGTCTGCTCTATTTGGCTGGTATTACATCACAAGAGACTTCTTCTGGACCACCTAGCGGAGGTCCTGGTGGCCCAGGTTTGCCTCCTTCTTCAGCGTCAAGTATTCAACGTCCGCCAACAGCAGGTGGGATGCAGCCTGGTCAACACCACGTTTCTGGTGGACCGTCTTTTGGCGGGCAACAGCCGGCCAGTGGACCAGGCTTTGGCAGTGCTACTGGTACGCATCACGTGAGCGGAGGCACCCATCACGTTTCTGGCGCAACCCCCGGTGGAGCATCTTCCACTGGTTATCATCACGTCTCTGGTGGTCCGCCAGCTGGTTCTTCTATGGCCAAGCCTAGTGGAATGTCAACTGCCGCTGCGCCAAAGCCAGCGGCCCCTCCACCACCGCCGAAGGACGTCAATGGTCACGACAGAAAGTTCATTCTACGCATTCAAGGAGCCGTTGTGCGTACTCCTCGATCGCAGGGCGGGGTGTCCAGATCAGGCACGCCCAAAGGAGGATCTACTACGCCGAAAGCTGTGCAACTCCTGGATGGTGGTATTTCCCCCAAGGCACTGGTGTCGCCCACGCCTCTTGTCGCAGGCTCAACAGGATCCCCCGCAACCTCAACTCCACCTCCTTGCTTTTACATCGAGTACACGACCTCTCTTGGTGGTGGCAATATGTGGGAGACACCAGTAGGCAGTCGAAGTCTGCCCTTAGCGATTTCAGGCTTTGCGGATGCGCCTCAGAACTCTTGGGCTGATCTGGGAGTGATGGATGAACTCGCGGTGGTGTCGATACCACCAAAAAAGGACGCGCGAACTGAGCAGAGCGTCAAGATATGCCTGAAGCTGTTCCAGATGGCATTAGGAGGAGGCGATGCAGGAAGTGGTACTTGCCACGACCTAGGTGGTAGATGCAAGTCATAAAATGCAGGGAATACGGATTACGATTAGCATTATCAGCTAAAAGTCATCATGTCCTCGTCTCACACCCACTAGATGGACGATGATGGTACTCGTAGGTACATAGATCATTGCCGACCACCATCAACACTCATACACAGGCACCACGCCGACCCAGATCGGCGAAAGTCAGTTGATCTTGTCTTCTGACGTTGGAGTAGTCGCTTCGAGTCTGTGGGGTGGTTTTGTTCATCCCAAGACTAGAGAAACCACCGCAAAGTTCCTCCTCAGCTACCAACTCGCCTTGCCCGCCCTTGAGGTCGATTTACGGAACACAGCTGGTTACTCGATGTTGCAGATGATGCCGATGTCCGATCCGAAAGTAGCTGACTCGCTGAAGAACTTTCAGCAGATATCTGCGACTACTGCAACTGCAAGGCCACCAATTGCTTCGATGTTAGTCAATCCAGTACGTGTCCCAACTGGTCTAGTTTTTTCCACTTACGACATCAATGGTCCTGTTTCGGGACAGCAAAAGTGGTCATGGACTGTGGGTCATGGACCACCTTTGACCATGAACGCAAAAAGGCTAAGACCGCCTTTGGAAAACGCCATTGAGGTGATCACGCACATGGTTGAAGAAGCAAAAGGAAATGGAGGAGTGCCGATGCCAGTAGCGACGCCAGGGATGGGAGGAATTATGGCCAGGAGAGTAACTGTAAGTATATTCATTTGATTTGATCCCCCTTCTCTATCTCCTTAACGACCGTTCATCTGGCACTTATCTCACGCTTATTAACCGTTTGATTTCATTCATGTCTGCTTTGATTTTTTTTTGAAATTTGACTGCTCTAATTCTATGGCAGCGGCTGGAAATTTTGTGACCAAGATCCAGGACGCTTACAAACGTGCATTGATGGCAGCCGGTGCAGCTGCTGGAGCGACGATGGGTGCGAGCGCACCTACGAACACCATGACATCCGGCGCAACCGCTGTTGGTGGTGCTGCAACATCCGCCACGGCAGCTACAGCCGGTTTAGCATCCTCTTCATCAGCGGCAGTAGGAGCACCTGGAACTAATCCAGCAGCGGCCTCAAATGGTCAAACACTGCTTCAAGTGTTGAAGCCGTTGCTTCCGAAGGAGTTTTTAGAGGCTTTGGATGTCACTGCCCTTGTTTCTTCAAGTGACGAAGATGAGCTCAACATGGCTGGAGAGGAAGTTGGAGGATCGGGACAACAGCTACAAGAACAGTCTGCATCGTCGACATTCGTAAGCGGAAATAAGAAATCCTTAGAAGTCCAAACAGTAGATTCTGCTACCAGCTCAAGCAAGAGAAAACCTCTACTCAACCCCACAAAGTTGATAAACAAGGATGTTTTTCCCTATTCTCTCCTGTTCGAAACGGTTCCAGCAGTCTATCACTTCCGCGAAAAACCTTCGGATACGCTCTACGCGTTGGAAGCGCTGGCGTTTTACTTCGCTTTGCGTGCTGTCGCACTGAAAGTGAAGCCTTGTTGGGCAGCCTTGAAAAAGAACTTGTTTCGACAGGAAGGGAATTATGGCAGTTGAATAACGCAATCGTCGGTAACTCAATTTCCAGCTGCAATAGACCAAACATGATTTTTCATGAAAGTAGATGCAAGTCGTGGAGTCATGAACCTGAAACTACAGGTTCGCGGTTGTAACTGAAAAATTTCGTTTTATCCACTTTTCCTCATCTAACGCCCACTACGTTGGTCCGATTTCCGCCGAGTCCTCGACATGACACTTGCCGAGGCTGGAGAAAAGCCACTGCCTGAATGCTATTGGTCATTGCTTCGTGTGCATCCCACTTGGTGGTCTATTCCTGGGCAATATCCAATGCCCCCGAACGCACCAGAACCTATTTTTGAAGTCGTTGCGTTTGTCAGTGACATGCAGACGTTTCCGGAGATCATGGCTACAGTCCTGATGAACAACACCAGTGTGGCTGCTGCAGTAGATGAAAATGCTGTGGAACAAGAAAAAGGTGGTAAGCAACAGCATGTGACATTTAGCAGCTCAGCGGATAATGATACTTCTCGCAGGGGTACCGGAGTTGTGCTACAAGACTTTTCGACGTCTTCTAGAAGCACCTTCTTCCAAGATCCAGCTCCATCTTCTGGGAGAGGACTTTCTGAGCACGCTGCATCTTCCTCTTCCCGCTCCGTGTCTCCGGTACAACAACATGCTAGTAGTCGTACAGCTTCCAAAAACAAAGAAGATTCAGACGTAGTCTGGCGATCTCTCCAGGACATCGAGTGGCTAGAAGCGAAGTTGCAGAACAATCTGGCCCAACTAGAAGAACGGGTATCGTCTATCAAGAACGCGACAAGCGCTGAAAGAAGTTTCGTCATGGATAGTCTAGAGCAGACAACTAGTGGTAGAGCAGGAGGAGGTGCATCTTCTAGTCCGAGCTTGATGTTCCAAACAGGAGGAGGATTCGATCCTCTACCGATCGCAACTGCTCCTTCGTTTCTTGGCTCGAATGCTTCGACTTCCAGTCCTTCGAGGACTGCAACATTAGGCAACACCTTCAATACAGCATATAACAATACTAGTGTCCAGCAACTCCAACAAGAACGATGGGAAAGTGGTGAGTCTAGACTAAAGGAGTATGAGTCACAGCAACTGCTGAAATTGCACGAACAAAACATGGCAGAGCTAGATCACTTGCGAAAGAAGATGTTGGGTCAAGCGCGGAGCAGGTCGGTTTCGCCGGAAAGGGAAAATAGGTCGCCTGAGACGAGAACAACGAGGTCTTTATTTACACCGCTAGAGAACTCAACAATGCCTGCGGCATTAGCTGCCGGAGGACCAACATCTTCATTTTCCACTGCACCTACTACAACAGCTACAGCTCCCATAGCTCCACCAGCACTTTCTTCGAACATCAAAAGTGCTACCTTCTTGCAGGAACAAGAGCAATACTATGCAGCTGCCCTTCATTCGTTGTTGACGGATTCTGTGTCTTCGTCAAATGCAGCAGACCCAAAAGCGGAACTGTCTTTTCAGAATGACAACATGTTCCTGCCGCTTCCATCATCGTCTTCGTCCATGATAAATCGCAGCGCAGTGGGTTCTTCGGGACCAGCACAAGGCTCATCTTCTTCCTCTTCCAACAAAAAGCCTGGTCACGAACTGCGTTTGTCTGAGGATGAACGCATCCTGACGCATCAGGTGAATAGGATTCAAGAGGAATTGAATCAAAGGAGATCGCGGAAAAACTCGGATACTTCTAGCGCTCCAACACCCGCGGGGCCATCGAAAGATGAGGCACAACGCATTTTCAGCATTCTAACGGGGAAAAGCAAAGAAGATGAAGATTTTTCTTGAGGGGATGGCTTGTACTGATGTAGTTGAATAAAATTATTCCTGTAAGTAAACAAGTACAAGTGAAACTGAGGACATGCCACTTGGTAGATACAGGATTCTAGCCTTTGAGTTTGATATTTTCGTAGTTATGAATATATGCATGGTAGGTGAAGGTGTAGGAGGTTAAGAGATGGAGGTTAGAGGGAGGATCATGATTTTTCACTTAAGTTTTTTTTTTTGAAATTTGAACAAGAAGAAAGCTTGGAGTCAGGAATGGTTGGATTACTTACATTTACAAAGAACAGAACAAAAAGTCAAGAATTCGTCTAAACTGACACGCAACGTGAGATTTAATTCGAATTCCAAACGTGTTTCTGGAAAAATGATAATTTGATTACTTTCTTCGTCATCACACTCGCATTACATTAAAAATATATGGGTGGTCCAGTTCCAATCATCATGTTTCTGCGATGATCTCTTGTAGTTGTTTGTTTCCTTCAACTACGTAAGGATAACGATACATCATGCTTATCACGAAAAACAAGCGCGCGAGTGCCAAAGATGCACCTCGCTATTGCTGGGATATAAAGCGCAAATGATCGTAAAAAATGAATCCACGTAGTCTTTGTCATTTTTTCATTCTGATGCTATCACTATCTCATGCAGTTAATACAACTACCATTACATCAGCCCTCAGACGACACTTCTGCCAATGCCAGCACACTGGTTGGTGTTATGGATAAAACAGTAGTTGAACATGAACAAGCTGATGTTCCGTAAAAACAGACCAGGAAAAATTCCCCAACGAAAAGGCTAGAGGCACCATTCCGGTGAGCCGATGATGAGAGGCCGAAAAGATGAGGTTGTCCAAAAGTCCGAAGCAGATCTCGATTTGGATCCAAAGTCTGATGAAACAAAAAAAAGTGTCCTCCTCCGTCTGATTTCCAAATACAGGAACACTATTCCTGACCACTATTTATTTTCCTAGAACTGCTACGTGCGATGCCGTCGTCACCGTCAAGTGGCAAACGGCCTTCAGGCGGTCATCGGGCATTAAACGGTAAGCAGCCGTCGACCGGTAAACAGCCAACATCGGCCGGTAGAGCACGACCGTCAGATGGGATGAGCCGGTCACCAACCGATAAAGGGCCATCGCGACCAGACGAGTCTAGTAAGCGCCCTTCGCCGTCGCCGTCGCGGCCTTGCGATTCTGCTGATGACGAAGCCCAATGGGACGTCGTCAAGACGCCGTCAGTAGAACGGATTGCTCAACAGACGTCGATCGAGACGGGCGTCGTGGCCGCTGACACCTCCGATGTCCAACTGGTGTCTGCCTCTTCAGTTGATGCGACCGAAGATGAGAATAAAAGCGACGAAGACAATGTTAAAGAGGAGGTGCAGACCACTTCAGTAGAGAAGGTTGATGCAGCTGTCGCAGAGCCCCCCGATGCACCAGAAGATGATAAAAGTCCTACGAGGATGAAAAAGACAAAATCTTCCGACCAAGCTCCACCTGACGTTAAAGATGGAGAGCTTACAGTTTCCGCTGGGACCACGACGGCTGTTGATGCAGCGGCAGCAAGTACTACAAAAGAACTTGTTCCACCTCTTCCTACACTTGAGGAAAAGGAAATGGCATCTTCACCGACAGTGGCGGTGACTCCTCCAGGAGCTCGCGATACGCTGGTCGAAGAAAAAGGACTCTCTCCAGTAGCACTTGCATCTGTGCCGCAAGCTGAAGCGGCGACGGAAAGAGCTGAAGAACCTAGTTTGGTGAGACAAACATCAGAAGAAGAAGAAGAAGAAGAAGCAGGGCTGGCAGTACCGATATCAAATTCAAAGAATGAAGTAGAGGCCAAGAAACAATCAGCAGTGGCAGACGTGTTCAACTCAGACGTAGATGCGAAAGAAAAGACAATCGGAGAGCATTCGTCTTCATCCTCCTCAGCACCAACAGCAGACGAAGCACTTGCCAATAACACCACAAACACGCGCACCACCACCCCAACTTCAACGAAGCTAGTTCTCAGAGAAGCTGCTCCCGAGAACCAAAAGACTTCTATAACCAAAGTTGCTCTGCAGCTTTCACAACAGAAGCCACTTCTCCGAGATGGGTCGACAATGCTGTTGCAAAATAACCTTAACTCCACACGATGTCCCTTGCTATCAGACAGAGCACCGGAAAAGGAGGACCGCAAATCAATTATACGAAGAAACTCTATGTCTACATCCTGTTGTCCACCTCTCAGTGGTACAACTTCTAGCAAAGCTGCAAGAACGAGTCCACTTCTACAAAGAGAACAAAAGCGACCTCTGCTTGAGTTGGGTGATGGTGAGGTGTCCATTAACATAAATGTCGACGATGCAGCAGTTGCACCTGGTCGTGAGCGAGGAGGAACTCTAGGAGCAGCTGTTGTGCCAGTAGTCTTTTCCTCATCCTCGACTACATATTCTACCTCATCGTCTATTGTCGACCATGGATTGCTCTATGGACGTGATGGAGCTCCAAGAAGTTCTGCCATAGACGAAGTTTTAAGGCTGTACCTAATACATCTTTGGCCGTATCCTTGGAACTACGTATGGAGGAGTATCCTAAGCGAATACTCCCCCATACTTTTCAAGGATGCACGACTTGAAAGATGAATCACGGACAGCTCTAAAAGTTGAAGCCCCGCTAGTCACTTTCCGGGCTCGCATCAACTGGAGCTGTAAGACGTTGTTTCTGTTTTTAGGCTTTATCTCTTTACTACCGTACAACGTAACCTTGGATATGCTCCCCTACTTGTGCCACGTGGTCTTCAGACACGAAGAAAAGGTCGTCAATTCGTGGGGTGTCGTGTGCGGTGTAGCGATGGTGAGCGGAAGCATACTGTCGATTCTGCTGGATACGGTTTTGATGTATAGGGAAGTGGAACATGGTAAAAAGAAGAGAGGGACAGGAGGGGATGTTCACGAGAACATGAAAGGACCAATCGATGACCAAGAGGACGGTCAGCTTGTAGATGTCGTAGGAGGATCAGGAGGCAACCAACGGACACGGCGAGGCGATACCACATTAGTGAACGGACTTCAAAATGCAACTGACGGAACCACAAGCAAGAAAAACACCGTCATCCTACCAGAAGACGCTGGTGCTGGCGGAGCTTCAGTAGAGCAAGATTTTGGAAGTGATTTCAATACTGTAGGACAATTGCGCTCTAGTGTCCAAGTGCGGTCACGCAACAGCTGCGACAGAACACCCCAAGAAAATGTCTTCTTCGCGAGACCTGTCTCGATGAACACTTCTTCACAACTACAGGCGGAGGGATTATCTTTATCAAAGAAGAGTGTGGCGGGGGAAGGGCACGAGAGGAGCAGCTCTAGCTCGAGTCCTTTTGTTAAAGAACAAAATCCAGAGAATGGTTCCAGCAGTGGAGGCTCTGGAGGTGGGCACCAAGAAGCTACTAGGCACAGTGCCGCGTCATCAAGATCAATACGTAGAAATCGAACATCAGAACAAGCCGATGGAGGAGCAGGAGCAGCGAATCATGATCTTCAAGATGAGAACGACGGTGGGACGAGTGGAACCAAGATACAACAGAGAACATCAAGTAGCAGGACATTATCTTAAGGCTTGCCGTTGTTTCTCATCTTAAGAGGCATCTTTGGGCACGATTTCAAGGGGAATTCACTTCAAAGATGCACTTTAAGATGAATATGGATAAGGTCTAATTATCGCAGTCACCCGGTCGTCAAGGGTCTTCTTCATCTCCGGGTCAACATCGTGGTGGAACTACAGCCAGGCGTTGTCTCGATTACGAAACTTCTGAAGATCAAGCTCGAACCACAACAGCAGCCGAAGTCGAAATGGCCAGCGTGGGGGACACAGGAGGATTAGCCTTAGTCGATGAGCGAGCAACGGCAAGAAGCGTGCTGATACAGCAACAGCCAGCTACTAATACACTAGAGAGAAACTACACTACAACAACCACTAGAACGACGCAACTTCTCCGTGACGATCTTCCAGAAGGGAGTTCTTACAACGGCAGAAGCGAGCAGAGAAGACTGCTAGATCATAGAGACGACGTTGAAGCACGACGGTTAGCTTCTTCCGTACAAGAGCAAGAAGCTTCTTCAAGAATCACAACCACGGCGACATCTGGTCGTCAACATGTAGCTCCTCTACCAGCTCTCCTGTCTACTTCACCAAGACCTCCACCAAGTGACGCGGCTAAGCCAGATCGACCTTCTATTCGATCCAGACTATGCTTCAGCGTAGCTTTCTACCGTGATGTGATGACTTCTTTCGAATCTCGATGGTTTGGCTCCCTGGCTGGGATGGCTGTATGTCTAGGCCTACTCCTAGTGGGCGTCGCAACCAAGAGCCTTGCTTTGACCCTGTCTGCGATGTTGGCATCTACGTTTTTCGGCTCAATATTCCTGAACTTGATCTTCAGCATTGGCGCGACAATCGATAGTGGACCAGTCCAAGTGGCGATATCGACAGGTCAGGGCCTTTCCGGCATAGCTGGCGGGATTATCAGCTTTATACCACTGTCGAGGCCTTTGCTGTTCATCTACATAGCCTTGGTTTTGTGTGTGCTGCTGTTCACGGCACGGCTGTATCGGGCAATGATTATGAGCAGTGGAAGTAGAAATAACTGAGCAGTAGAAGACATAACTCGCTCAAAAATTTTATCTCATCATCTCTAGTTGGAGTGGAGGTAGTGCGTCTTGAATATCATGATGACTGTAGTCTTCTCTAATCCCCGACCCACTGGTGTTAAGCGGAGCAAGAGCATGCTTGGTCGTGTGATTGGCGATCAGTTTGACGATGGTCGCAAATTTTTCGGCGAACGGGGATATCGGAATCCTGATGCCATAGAAGGGTCTACTCGTGACATAGAAGGAGTAGATGCAGCTCCGCCATTACAAGATGAAGAAAGTAAACTACAAGACCACCACGACAAAGGTGTCATGAAAGAACAAGACGACTTTTCTCCTCAACGTCCTTTCCGTGAAATATGGCGTGACATTCGCGGTATGGTCATCACTGTGACACTCACATACGCCATCACCTTCGTGTGTTTTCCTGGCATGCTGGTAGGCTTATTCGACGTCTCCACAGGTGGCAATCAGGATTTTCTAGGTCAGCTGATCATAGGTGCATTCCAGATAGGCGACGTTTGTGGAAGAAAGAGTCCAGATTTCCTGTGGAAGAGAAACGAGGTCGTAGGTTTGTCTCCTAGGGGTCGAGAGATCGCAGGAGAAAGACGAAGGCGGCAGCGTGAGAAAATATCCTGCGTATTGGGTGCACTGCGGCTGGCGTTCATACCGATGCTTCTGTTGGCGTCGCACCATACGCGAAGCGTGCCGACGGCAGTGAAGTTTGTACTGACTTACCCTACGTTGTCTTCAGCGAAAAAAAGCGGAAACATGATCAAACAGAATTTCTATTTCACATGAAAAACGTTACAAAGTAACACAAACACACCATCTTGATCCATATGAAATGCAAACATTCTCAGGTCCTCTCCTTTCTCTTCGCCGCAAGCCATGGTTTTCTTGCTACTGCCACGTTCGTCCTCTCCGCTGCTAGTCTGCAGAGTACGCGAGAAAAGGCTGTATTGGGGCTGATAATGAACCTCGTCGTCACCCTAGCTATCCTTTTAGGAGGGATACTAGGTTTCGTGCTCATCAGCGCGTTTAAGTAAGATTGGGATTCGCGGCGAATGGAGGCAGACCACGATATTCGACTTGGTGTGGGTCGACCCGCAGTGATAACAGCATAAGCATATCACAATCACTCTACGCATAGAGAATCTAAATTTTCATTTTCCAGCATGATGTGGATGTTGCGCATGATTTGCATCGCCTGAGTGGTGTGGTCACTGGAAGGGTATACTTTCTTTCAATCTTCGTCGCGAAATCTTCAAAGACCCTCCATAGGCTTCTTATTCTTTCTTCAACATCATGATCAACACGCTTGAAAAGTCTGGTTTGGTTTGACAGAAGAGATGAGTGGTTTACACTTTGCACTTTGGCCTCTACTTGTTTAGCAATAGTAGGAAGAGTTTTTAAGGGCCTATCATTACTATCAATAGACGCAGCACGTATCACCATCAGATCGATGTGGGAGGTCCACATCTGCTAACATCTAATCGTCCCAAATAACTTCATTACCGAAAAACAAGAGACACCAAAACTTATGAGGCGGAAGGCACCAATGTGTACGTTACCCTTACGCGGCATACCCTCCACCTGTTACTTTATCCTAGACAGAGCCGAGTGGCATTGAGAAGTACGTAGAAAGTTCTCGAGCAAGTTGAGATCTTAAGCGCCGTATGAAAAAGCAAGATCAGCTTCAAATTAGATTTACGATTGTTTGGTACCAGATGAACCAGTAACCAGTAGCATAAGATTTAGATGCATCAATTTTGAAGACACAGTGAGATCCAAAATTCAATATCATTAAAAAACGGTCAACTCATCAAGGTCTTGTTCATAATTTTTCATAGCAGCTTCTAGTTTTCCTTCCCGTTCGAATTATCACAGGACGGGGAGCAAAACTTATTGTTGGATGCTCGTTTCGTTTTGGTTTTTTTAAATCTCCCACTTTTTCGTGTTGCCTTTTGCAGGTTCCCTTGTGTAAGTAAGTAAGTAGATTTATTTTTCATGGTTGTGGAATGATTCGTTCACTTTGATGACCGTTGGTTGTTCTTATTATATCTTTTTCGTCGCTTCAGTGAATCACAAATATCAGTCAACATCAAAAATCTACAGCAGTAGCTGTAGCAGCACATAAAAATGAAAAGTAACCGTTTATTAGTTTTCCCTCCTAACCTCGGTCTATCTCTCCAAACGATATGTAGTTGGAGATAGTCCTTTTCCTCTCAGGTACTGTTGCATTTTTAGGTCATTTTCCTGGTAAAAAAAATGGGGGTCACTAACACTAGCAAGAAAGACATGCTCCGAAGCGGAAAAGCGTCTGCTCCTTCCTGTATGGCGCCAACAGCAGAACCAGATCAAGATAGGAATGCAACCGAAGAAGTAGATCCCGAGTCCCAGCTTCCTGCTTGGGTTTTGGTTGCCCTTGGCTTTACTGGATTGGTCGGGTACAACATTAGTGCGACATTAGTACCACGTACTGACCAGCTCATCTTTCACCGGGATGAAACGAAGATCGAGTGGGGCAAGTACGTGTCGCTACCCAGGTGTCTTGGGTGCGCGGCAGGATGCTTCTACACCATTCTCTGCTTCCGTATGAATTGGGGTCTGCGCTTGCCATGGTTCATGGCCACGCATGGACAAGCGCTGGCGTATTTCCTGATTTGCGTGGTGTTTGTGGTGGCAGAGTTTGGAGTACTATCGAAAGTTGGACCCGACAATTCGGGGGGAGGTGGAAACAACACCGGTGCTATTTCCCACTCTGCAACTGCACAGCTGACTGCGCTTGCCTGGATTGGCTATTGCCTCACCTTCGTCGCAGGTGTCGGGTCAGCAATCTTGAATGCGGCGTTGATCGGCTTTGTGTCTCGACTGCCGAATCCGGGACGCGGAGCTTACATCTTCTCCTTCGGGCAGGGCGCTGCAAGTGTCATAGTTTGCCTACTCGGTTTCGTCAAAATCAAGACTTTTCACGCCTTGACCGCATGCTTCCTCGCTGTCGCAGTCTACTGTGGAATTACGTATTGGGTTGGACGCTACCATTTCAGGAGAAACGCAGTGCTGAAAGGCTACTTTATTCTTTTTCTTGGCAACAAGAACGACGCGAATCATGCGAGTAAGGGCACAAGCGAAGAGGGTCGACTAGATGATGATGATGAGGACAACATAATCACAACATCAGGAGAAGAGCAGGAAGATGACGAACAAGAGGCGATGGAACAAGGTCTATTGGAAGAATTCCGAAAACTTCCCCGTCTCTGTCCTAAGAGACGTCGGAGCAGTGCTCTGAGACAGGAACGGGTCTTTTTGACGTTTCGTAAACGAACCGCGTTGGATGCGGAGGTGAAGAAAACATTGGTCCTGGTTCCTGCCGTTGCTGTTTCATCCGCTTCGGAAAATAATGACTACTCGAAGGAAGAGCAGGAGGAGGAGCTGCTGCCGGTAGAAGAGGACGATAATGATACGCAGAAAGAACAAGATGTAACGAACGTAAGCAGTGCCAGTGCTGTTCTTGTGCTCGAAGAAGATAACTCCAAGACTGCAGCTAGGAGGACCAGCGACCAAGTCTACGACAGGATCAAAGATCAGCAAGCGGAGAACGTTACCAACCTAGTCGTGGAAGAAAAAGATCTGCCTTCTCGTTCCCTATGGGCCATTTTCTGCGACGCGTGGCCAGTGCTCCTTTCCAAGTACATCAACATGGTCGTGCTCATGATGGTCTTTCCTCGTGTGCCAAGGGATGTGCGGCCTTACGTAGAAATAGATGGTGGCACAACGGGTCCCGATACTAGTAATCGTGAAGCCGCAGATCAACATGCTGCACAGTTTTCCCAGCAACTGATCGTCACAGTCGCAGGAGCCGACGTTTTTGGCCGCGTGCTCTCAGCACTGATGCAGATGGCAGTAGAAGCTTGTTGTAAAAAAGCGCGTAGTGGACGTCGTACTTCGGCTTCTAGGAGTTGTAAGGCGGGTCCGCCTACACCATCCTCACCGGCTGAGGAGACTGAGAAAGAGAGTAACAAGAGCGCATCTGCTTCTCCCGCATCGTCTACAGCTCCATCGCTCTGCTTTAAGCTCTGTCTCTTCATGGCTGCGATTGTTCGAGGTGTATTATTCATTCCAATCTTGCTGGAGTTGAAAAGAGATAGTGCGGGTAGATGGAAATATAAGTATCCTCCAACACAATCACAAGGAACAGGAGTTGTACCAACACCTCCAAATACTACACCTCCAACGACTGCAACAACTTCACCTCCAACTTCTCCAACAATTTCTCCACCTCCACGCCCCTCTCTCCTCGACAACTCCGACATCACGAAGTACGTCACTCTAGCCGTGTTTGGCACATGTGGCGGTGCACTCACATCCTTGACAATGATGACAGTGGGGAAAACGGTTACGCGGAAGAGCGAGAAAACACTAGTAGGAACGATGCTCAGTGCAGCCGTCGTCTTGGGCCTTTGCACTGGGTCTGCTCTGTCATTGATCGATTTTTAGACAGCTATTACTAATACTATTTTCCCTATATATTAATTTACATTGATTGGTCTACCTCTACCTCTAACAACTCCCTTCAATTCGCCCAATTAAATCACCATCTGGAAAACGATAAAAAACCAAGCCCTACTAGAGGTTCCTCGTGATCTTATATTCTCTAATCATCCTTTTCCTTACCATGACTTGACAATGGTGCATATCTTCCACATCCTCACCTTAAACATGTAGTTGTTTGTTCTCTAGCATACCATAATCCCCATAGAGGATCATCCGGCACCTGCTCAAACATAACGACCCCTTTTTTGTCCTGAGAACGGGAATTCATGCATGCTTGGCGTGTTAGTGCACGACACCATGCAAAGACATCACTAATGAAGGTGCACTAGCCGTTTCTGTGAATCTATGGTCTTGGCCTCCCCGAGGCAGCATTCGAAATTCACTTTATAAATTTCTCTCGTCGCCGCGCTCGCGGACGGGGAGCACAAGCATGTGGAGATAACTTGTTTTTTAGCAAGAACATGTTCGCTGAGAATCCACTACGGAATAAAATTGAGTGTAGAGGAGCAGGTCCCTCAATATCAAAACGAAGATAGCGAAGTCTTTGTAGGCGTAGGGAGAGAGCTAAAACAAAAAATCTTGAGTTTGAGATATCAAGAGAAAGATAATGCAGTGGTCGTAGCGAAAGAGCTGAAGAAACAAAAACTCAAAAATTATTGAATCTGAACTTTGCTCGTCGGTCTCTATTCGTATTTGTCGTCTCAGCGCCAGAGTCTGCGTCTCGGTCGTTTATTGTGTCGGGTGGAGCTGGTCGTTTTCTTGTATCAATATCATAGCTTGTGTGATGAAGAGACGAGGAGAGCGACTTCTTGGATGAAAAAAATCGAAGGGTCGTGTTGCAATCTTTTTCTATTACTCAGTCAAAGGTGGATAATTTCTGCCGATCTGGTGCTCAATGCGACTCCACCCGTCGTCGGCAGGCATACCGGATATCACTGGGATCACCCTGCCGGCGGTCTTGGCATACAAAAAAAACCAGGGCTGAGGCAGAACCCCCCGCAATCTACATCTAAACTCTCTTGACTTCCTCCCGAAAAACCAACCTCCTCCCACATAAACATCGACCCTGGCCGAACAAGGAACTGACTACTGCTCCTCCAATCCGAAAAGATCGACAATGTGATCGAAATCCAAGAAACTTTGTTTCGTACTACACAAGCCACAACGGACAACAACTCCATCCATCCAATTCCCACCAACCTCATCAATGGTAGTAAATAGATGAACCCATGCATCAAGAAATTGTCCTCTTGTTGATTGTTGTTGAACTGTAGTTGAGGAACTTCTGAAATAAGAAAAAGTATGGGTGCCAACACAGGGGTGGACGAGTCGCTCTTCGGAGCGAAGAAGACGAGCAAGAAGCCCCTCTCTGATGTCCTCATAGTAGGCAAGGACACTATCCAGAAGGACCGCAGGATGCAGACACAAGCAGCGACTGCTACGGTACCAATCTGATACGATGAAAATGCCTAGCGCCACAGGCAACAGCTATTTTTGTCCGAAGAGGAAGAGAACACAACCAGCATCTATTTCCTGTCACACAATAGAACTACTAGTACCTTTACTACAGATTATCTAGCATACCAAATTATATCTTCCCGAACTACAAGTAGACACAATCACAATCCAAACCAAAACCTAACTTCTATCCAGGTCGACTCCTCGATGCTTGCTACAGTGATAGCAGCATCAGACCTGAACCGAATCAAAGATAGCACAAAGCTCGTATCCAAAGCGTCTGAAGCCGCGCAAAAGAGAATCGCTGGAGCCGCTAAGGCCGAAAAAGAGGCCAAGAGCAAAGCAAGAAAGGAGAAGATGGTACTCATAAGTTTCGTGCAGATGTTGGTGTATGTGTAGTTTCTGTGTCAATTGTGCAACATTATTCTCATTCCAAACTACCTAGAGTAAGTAATTGCACACCTTAGTATGAACCTAGTAAGAATAGGAATACCAAAAACAACCTCTAGAATTAGAGAGAAGAAAGTAAAATAAATACTAAAACAACCAGCTCTAGAATTATTAGAGACAAGTAAGAACTCACTGATAAAACCAAAAACAACCTTCTACCTGAATATCCACCATGATTGATTGCACTCCCATTCCCACCACCTCCAACCAGCTCCTTATGGAAGAGGAGCGAAAGATGAAGATGGCGATGCAGATGACGGATTTTGAGAAGGAGGAGCAGGCTAGTACCAACGGACTCCTCCAAAAAGCCAAGGACAAGATGGATGAAAGCCATGACGACGTGAAGCATATGAACCAGATGATGATGTATTCCAAGGTAGTAACGATCCGTGATGCGCAAGTCCAGGAGAAGAGGTACGATTTAGACAGAAGTCTTCTTCTTGCATAAGCAATTCCAGTACCTTGATGCATAATTTCCGTACTACCGGTGGTTCTCGCACTAAGTAAGTACTCGAATAAAACTGAAAATAACCGAGTTACTGACTGAAATAAGGGAGGTAGCTTTGACAGGGCTACTCTTCCTTCTTCAGTATCTCGCTTATTTTCAGTAGTTACTCGCTTAATATTTCAGTTTTTCGAACACTTGCATGATCCTTTTCCTTCCACTCTATTGAATCAACGTCCTTTAGTTGAAGAGCATGATCGCCCTTTTCATCATCGTCCTTTTCCTTCGCACTGAATGTCCTTCCTCCTTCTCGACTTTGCTTCCCTCAGGTATATCCATCAGGAGCGAGAGGAGGAGGAATCTCAACTCGACACTATGATGGAGATTGAGCGACTCAAAGCCTTAAAGATGTATGAGGAAAGAAATAAGGCAAGAGCCATTGACCAGCGAAAGGGAGCACAGGTAAAAGATCATGAAGATGCTGCTTTGTTCATTTAGGGCTTAGGGCTGGCTCTTAATCACTTTGTTAGTCGCCGTCTACTTAGTCCACACATATCATTTTTTGACCTGACCACCCCCACCCGCCCAGCGTACTAGTACAACGAACTGATAGTTCTACTTTCAGCACACTGATTGACTCATTACTAATCATGAAAGAACAAGAACTTTCTCCCCAATCAAACAATCGTCTATCTTTTTCAGGTGATCATCGAACAAATCAAGGATCGACAGACTCAAAGGTTGCGTGAGGAGGAGGCTAGAGACCAAGAACGAAGCTTCATCCTCAAGCAAATACAAGCCATGAAGCAGGAAGAAATTGAACTTCAAAATTATGGCAAATTATGTTACAACTGTTAGTTCAAGTTCGTCATGAAGATTTATCCGCTTGTAGAAATATAGCGTGGGTGTATAGGGATAATTTATGAAAGTGACTTTCTTGAGAAGATTGGCGGGTAATGACGCTAGGTAGGTATGGAAGCATCTAACTCAGTCGTACTAATTCAAGAACTACATACTTTGACTTACTACCTGAGAGATTAAGTAAGTAACTTATGTTTATCCCACATCCTCCTCCTCGCTCCCTCTCTAAAAATCAGCGAAAAAAGTCGCCGCATCCAAGCTTATGGCAGAGGTCGCAGTAGCAAACGCAGCCACGATGAAGATAAAAGAAGAGAAGATCCTCGCAGAGCGACTGGATGATCAACAGATTCTCTTATGGAATGGTCGATTTTTCTGACATCACCTACACCTACTATATCGATGAGTTCATTGCCTAAGTAGTTCATTCTCATCTGACAACAATCATTGCTGAGATTCTACTTATAACTTGAATCTATGAACATGCTACGTAGAAGATGTAGTTCTACATCTTCACAACACACTCTTCTGAACAAAAAGTACAAGAACTTGAACACGCTCTTCTAATCTCCGAATACCAAAGAGCAAAGGAGTTGCGCGAACGTGAAATCGAGGAGGAGAAGAAGAAGGTAGCAGCTGAGAGGGAAGCTGAGACCGCAAAGCTACGTGCTGCACAAGAGAAGGCTGCTGACAAAGCTGCGGAAATGGTAACGTTTCTTAGATGCTAACGTCAATCGCAATCTTTACTGTGTAAACTACATTTTTTGTAATAAACTACAACTAGAACAACTACCTTAGAAATTTTCCTAGTTAATAGGCTGGGGCTGGCTCCACCAACTACTTACAACCTCTTTTGTAAACTACAACTACAACATGAAGAACATGATCAAGAACAGCTTCACCGAATTCAACATATTTCGATCGATAGAGGCCCTTACTCCCAAGCAAATATAATAAGAAAAGTGAGTGCAAATTGTGGAGATCATTGCCTCCTTCCTCCCTCAATAGGACGCTCTCCGTGCCAAGCGCGCATTTGAGGCTGCAGAACGTGCCGCTCGTGGCAAGGAGCAGCAGGAGCGAGCACGAGTTTCCGCTATCAATGAGGAGTTGTCCGTCGCACGCAAACGACAGACTGCTGAAAAAGAAAGACGCTTAGCGGAACAGGCTAAGGCAGAACGGGATGAGTTCGACCGCATCATCGAAGTGCAGATACAGCAAGAGCAAGCAGAACGAACCAAACAAGCGGATGAGAAGAAGGCCAGGTATTCAAGATCTCTTCTTGATGGGATTGTGTATTTTTTGAGAGGTAGAGGAGGAAACAGAACATCGATGAGCAAAAGTAGAGATCATATAACTACAACACTTCTTCTTCCGCCACTTCTATCTTCCCCAACAGATACCTCCACTGCGACGAGTTGCGTCAGCAGATCGCTGCTGGCGAAGAACGACAGTTACAGCAACGCCGAAACGCCCTCGAAGAAGGCAACAACGTTCGATCAGAGCTCGCGGCTGAACGTAGGAAACTCGAGAAGATCAAGACAAAGAAGATCGAGGAACTCAAGAAGTGCGGTGTACCAGAAAAGTACTGGTCCGAACTGGCAAAGAAGAAGATCGCGGTATAAAAGGAGATGATGCTTGTGCTCCTTCTTAGTAGAAGAACCTCCTAGTGGAGCGAGATGATGCTTCTACTTAGTAGAACCTCCTAGTGGACGAGCGGTGAAAGTGATCTTCATGATAGAATCTAGAGCAGTGATCTGCATGATAGAGTCTATAGACATCTACCTAGAACTGGAACGCTTGTTTAAGCGTTTTTTCAACTACTACCTGCGAATACTACGTGTGAATCTTCTTCTTCAGACTTCTAGAAGTGGTCTTTGAGAAGGTTCTATTTCATCTAGAGCCACAGGTTAACATGATTGATGTTATTCGCAAAAATAACATCGTCAGACATTCGCATTCGATACAGCAAAATTCACCTTCATCAATCAAATAATCGAGAACAAATTTCAACAAAATTAGAACGTCTACGTCATGTTTACTAGAATTGTTATGTTTACGATACAGCTCACCTTGAACGGCCTAAACCTTCGCTTATGAATATCTCAGAACTTTCGCAATAATTGAATCTCCTTAGAAACATCAACGTATGTAGTAACTTAGAACCAAATCTTGATAAAACCTGGACTTACCATCGTCGATCACGACCTCGACCTCGAGCAGATTCAGATATTGAGTATGTGTATGTCCTTGCCGACGCAGTAGAAATATGCTAGAAAAATAGAATGATCTTGAAATTATGCAGAACATTAATGAATCTTCAAGTACAATTGCTACAGGTGGTAATTCAATTTTGAAGTTCAATAGATTCATCGATCTAGTATTACAATTAAGAATGCAAGAACCGTCTCCAATATTGTGTAAGAGCGGGGTAGCACCACGTACACGCTTCAGTAGACGTCCGGAGGGGACTACTAATAAAACGCTAATTCAAATTTCTTATCGCAAATAGAATTTCAGACGAAACACTAGAATGAATCATGTACAAAAGAAATTTCGCAACGCCAATCTTGAACTATTGCTGTACCAGAAAAGGATCGTCATTGGAACTAATGCGGGAATCAGCAAATTGGAAAAAGTTAATGCAGAAGTTGTGGACGTCGATCTTCGATCTGTTCTTGTACCATGGAGAATATTTTTTGGGTTGCTCAGCAGCCGCTTAAGTCTTCCACATCGGATGGTAGGCCCCAACCTAACCTAACCTGGTACTGCACTAGCTGTAGCTAGCTCATGTGGACCACAAAACAATCGACTAGGTAGTTGTTGAACAAAACAATCGACTAGTTCCTTCTTTTTTACGCCCAAGATGAACCATTAACCAAAAGACAGATGAGTAATACAACAAGCACGAAGAGGAGGTCCGCAAGGATGCTCCGTCCTGTCTTGTCGTTTCTTCTGTGCACCCCCAGTTGCCTCTTCGTCGTTGGCCTGTCGCCCAGGCCCAACAACAAGGCGCACAGGGATGGGTCCGGTGAAGATGCTGGTGCGAGGGTAGCAAAGAAGGGGAGCAAGGGGAAGGACAAAGAACAAGGAGCTTCTTCATCAGTCGTAGTCGCCGCCACAACACCATCTTCTACATCATCGAGCCATGGTTTCGTCTCACAAGCTCTCCACTCTGCCATGTCAGAGAAGAAGGAGGCGTCGAGTACCGAAGATGGCGATCATCCTTTTACGGTGACCACAGATCCGAACGGCGCTGCACCTCAATGGGTCAACAATCCTTTGTCCGAGTACTTCTTCAAATACACTAGTGGTCTGAGGATCTGGAAGTGGCATCACTATTTTGCGGTTTATCATCGGCACTTCGATTCCTTACGTCAGTACACGAAGCAGCAGCCAGCTGGCAGTCCCGCGGGAAGGATTAACATGCTGGTTATGGGAGTCCAAAGTGGAGGAGAAGTCGGCATGTGGCAGAACTATTTCGGCGACAACTTCTACTACTACGGAGTGGATATCAATCCGGCTTTATGAATAAGTTGTATATTACAGATTACAGAAGATGAAGAAGGAGATGACGCTCCCGAGCCCGACTGAATGGTCCCGGTATTTAGTAGCCTGATTTTGATCATAAGGGAAAACAAGAAGAGAATCCTTGTGATCAAATTCAGGCTACCAAATACCGGAACCATTCATCGACAATATTTTTTACGCTAGATGATCTGCGAGAAAAACCCCGATCATTCTTGATGAAGAGCATCCGATTCATCTAGTACAGCCATACTTCGTCCTTACTACAGCCGCGTACTCGATCCATCCATACCAATCTCGTCCTATCTTCATATCCCTGCAAGAGTATCGAAAAGCGGTACCCCAGGACCAAGATTTACATCGGAGACCAAGGGGACTCGAGTTTTCTGCTCAGTGTGAAAGACGAGATCGCTGCCTCTGGAGCGCCTTTACACATCGTCCTTGATGATGGATCTCACATTGCTTGGCATCAGATTTATGCTCCTGGATTATCTTGTACTATCAAGGTAAACATCAGTTATCTCTGAGGTATCAGATTACTGCTCAGGGACTTCTACGGACAACTTCATCTTACAATATATTGTACGATCAAGACCAAGTAGAAGTAGCAAGCTTAAGTATTTACATGATCGCTTTCAACAATCATGAGAATGAGTATTATAACCCTCTTTCTTTTTCTTACTGCTTTGTTTCCTAAGAGATAGCTCGAAGCCACCGCCTCTAACCCTCCGCATCCTTCGAGACGCTCTTTCCCTTCCTACACATCTACGGTGGCGTCTACATTACTGAAGACGTGACCACGAACTACGCGGCTGCCAACTCAGTACATAGGCAACCGGCTCCGCAACTTGCGAACTTCCCGGCAGTCAGCAGCACAAGCGAGACCTTTATCGACCACATGAAGACGAGGGTACACAAACAACATCAGCGTTATTTTTTGTAAGTATTTCATTCAATATGAACAAGAAGTAGAGGACAGAGACACTGTAGTATGGTTGCCCCTTCTTATCAGTGCTACCTTCACCCCATTGTCCAAGGTCGACTTCGTCAACGGTTATTGGAAATTTGCTACTGCCAATGCCGGTGTCAATCCTTGGAACGATCCTTTTGTGACCTCGGTCAACGACATCGCCTTCTATGATGGCATGGTAGTGATAGAGAAGCAACCCCATCAACATCCGACGCAAGAGCGACGTGGCAGTGAGGATATCCCATATTGTACCAATGGACAGGGGAATGGATGCTTGACGTGAGAATGGTCAGTGAATATAATATGTTGAATGGAAACGGTAAGTGAGGTCGAGGAGAAGTAGAGGTCGAGCATAGAAGGAGAGGTCGAGCATTCTTTTCGTAGAAAATGAAAAGGTTCGAGGAGACGTAGAGGTCGGACGGTTCTTCATCATTCTTTCTGTAGAAAATTCTACAACACGTCTTTCGGCATAGTACAAACGGGCTGCGCCTGCAGCCAAGCCTCCTAGTGCATAGTGCTGGACGTGAATAGAGCGTTGACATTTTCTTTTCTAACAGACTAGGTTTCGTGATGGGGATGAGACTATGCTCTTGCTGCTCAATAAATGTCTGTACAGGTGATTTCGCTTTTGCATGATGTAATTCAAATCTCCTGCTCAGCTTTCTTGTTTATTTTTTCCAAGTATCTTCTACTTCTAGAAAGAAGTTGCACAGACGAAAGCAGTGCACAGCGAAATCAACAAATGAGAATACATTGCTGAAAGGCTCATGGGCGAGGGCGTGCCTTTTTTTTATGGAACCTGAATTTTTTATTCTTGGTGTTGGTCTACCTCTAGAAAGAAACAAAGTAGATCCCTGTCTCTGTCAACACAGTCCAACAAAGAAGGATCACAAGAATGAATTCATCAGCAGATCAACATGCCTCATTTTATGGATCGATCATGCACAAAAAACCATTTTAAGGATCGAACACTCAAGGAAAGAGATCAAACGCGCGGGTTTCTACGTTCTGGTTAAGATCTTGTGACACGATGTATTCGTATTAGATCGAAGCACTATGTGAATGATCCTACCTGACATGACACAAGTAGAGATAATTCTTGTTCGTTTTCCCATTTTTCAGGCAGGAAGAAGGATAGTTGTAGTAAGTAACTGCATTGAGGATCACGCAATAACTACCCACGCGACCACCTATCCCTAGTTCCTTCTGATTCAACTATTACTTCTAAGTAGAAGTACATTTACAACTAGTCCAACGTCGCTGTCATCATCCTTCGTAGTCCTAACCGAACCAACTAGCAGACAAAATGCCGCGTCAAGGAAACAAGCGAAAGAAGACTAGGACGCACATCAAGCCTGCGGGCGAGGCTGACCCCAATGCGGCTCTCCAAGAGGACAAGACACCGCGTTGCTTCGTCGTGCGCCGTGGCAAGATCGAGAAGGGCCTGCAGGAACTAGTCCAGGACTTCCGATATGTGTGTGCCCCCAACAGTGCCATCAAATTGAAGGAATCCCGCATGAACAAGTTGCGCGATTTCGTCAACGTCGCTTCCCATTTTAAGGTGACACATGTGAACACTTTTAGTCAGACCAAGGGCGCGTCTGGAGGTGCGAGTACGGGTGATCTGACGTCAAGGAAAACTTCGTCGAGTGCATCTACTGCGATTGCTGGTGGAACATGCTTGTTCCGAGTTGGTCGCTTGCCGCGTGGACCGACTTTGAGCTTTGTTTTACGCGAGTTCACGACAGTGAAGGACCTGAAAGCGGCACAAAAACGACCACGATCCGCCAGTGCCAAAGAATTCAACGTGGCGCCATTGCTTTTGTTAAACGGTATGCGCCTGAACTATAAGCAAGAAGACGAACAACAAGAGGATGATGAGGAGAAAAAGTCCTCAAGTGCCAACAAAGCGGCCAGGAACAAGGCTAAAGCACTCGAATTGATTGGAACGACATTGAAGAACATGTTTCCGGCTGTTGACGTGAACACGTTTTCCACCAGGAATTGCAAACGCGTAGCCCTCTTCCACTACGACCACGACAAAGAACTGCTGCACTTCCGACACTACGCAGTGGCTGAGAACCGAAATGCACAAGTTTCTAGAACAGTCCAGAAACTGTTGAAACCGAAGTTCCTGAAGAAGAAGACGGATGTGGCGAGCTATATCGAGAACAGAGGCGACTACGACTCAGACAGCGACGCAGGCGATTCAGTCGTGCTTGAAGAGAGTGCGCCATTGCCAACGAATAAAGGTACTAGTAATATTTATTACTTGATGCTGGAAAAGGAAATGGATTGAAGATTTGATCATTCGATCATAATGAATTATAATTTCTGTATGCCCGTAGAGAACTGTCTGGCAAATATTGCAAAACAAAAAAATGTCTTTATCATCAAGATCAAACAGAACCTACCCTTATCCTATCATCATGAGAATCGTCAACATCTACACCACCTCCCCCATAGGTTCCACCTCCGCCGGCACTGTTTCTGTGAAGCTCGTCGAAATCGGGCCACGTATGACCCTTCAACTCCAGAAGGGAGAGGAAGGCTTCTTCGAAGGGTCCATTCTCTTCCACGAATTCGTCAAGAAGAGCGCAGAAGAGCAGGCCGTGATCGCCAAACGCTTGCTCGACACTCAGAAACGCAAGGACCTGAAAGAAGCAGCCATTGCGGAGACCGAAGCCAAGAAGGAAGAAATGAGAAAGAAGCGAGAAGCATTCGAAAACAAGAAGTTGGAGAAAGTGGCGAAGAGAATCGGTGGGGATGATGATGAAGAAGAGGATGAAGAGAATGAAGATGCTGAGGATGCTGGTGACAAGAAGACAGCTGCTAAGCGACAGAAGTTTAATCCCTTTTCATTTGCACGCAAGAAGAGCAAGGGGGATCGGGATGATAACACTGTTGAATTCGGAAGCAATGCAGCTGCAGGAGGAGGCGCATCTTCATCAGCAGGTGCTGCGGGGGGTGGATCTAGTAGTGGTACAAAACCGACTAAAAAGTCAGGAGGTGGAAAAGCCAGGACAACTTCTGCAGGATCAGGTAAGAAAGGCTCATCAGGAGCAGGAGGAAAGGGCAAAGGTAAAGGGAAGAAGACATCAGTTATGGACAAATTCAAGAAGGCGACTGGTGGAGACTCAAGTGCTGGAGGTGGAAAGAAGGGCGGCGGGAAGGGTGTCCAGAAGAAACTAGGTAGAAAGGGAAGAGGTAGGGAAAAAGCAAGAGCCGCGGATAAAAGCTGAGCAGGTGAGCAGATCTTTATGTTGAAGAAGAGGAAAACAATTATAGATCACAAAGGTAATCGCAAATATTTTCAATCATTCCCCGTTGTACTTGCACCACGACTCACATGATAGCTGCTGCAAGATGAACTCATACTCAACGCCCGATGAGATTTCGTAGATTATGTTTGCAAGATGAATTATCACGATCATGTTCAAAGCAAAAACAGAAAGTACTTTCTTACAAGGTAAGTAGCTCAAGCGTATCGCAGCCGTTTGCTTTGGTGTTGGTTATGCGATGCGCTCAAGGACATCATGTTCATGAGACCGCTTCCACTGTCTCAAAAGGTGAATTTGTATTCTGTTATCATAGCCTGAGCTGGATGATCTGTGGGACTTCTTTCTCGGTCGGCGGATGAAGATGCGACATGGAACTGGACATATAGCATGCGCACTGCCACAATAGTATAGATGAAATCTTCAGTAACACTAGTATAGATGAAATCAGTGACACTAACAGTAGAACGACTGCAGCATACGAATACGTCAAGGTTTAAAAGGAATGAGAATGAGCGATGAAGATCACTACATAAGAACAACTGACCCCCTCCCCATCCCTGCGAAAATGTAAATTACAAGCTAGACGACCGGTTCCTATTCCTTCATTATCCTTGTCTATCTCTGTTTTTTTCAAAAACTGCATACTGTGCATATCTGTTGAACAATGTTTACAGAAAAAGGCATTCAGCAGGCGCCTTCAGCTCAACGAGCATACCTCTTCCTCCTGTCGCCAGTATTAACTCATCAGTGTCGTGAATCCCTCTGTAACGATGCACTATAATGTGAAGACGAGGACTTTTTAGCGTTAAGCTTGTGCCATTACCAGGAACAAGACGCCGTAGTTGTTGGTTATTCATCTATAAATCATTGTTCAGATCATGATGTCGTGGATAGGGTAGGAGTGCTTATGTAGTGATGAAGGCTATTTGATGATGTATTTATCTCTATAGAGTATAGTTATAGTATGCAAAAAGTTGAATTTTCAGTTTGTGTGAAAGAATTTCTTTTGACTTTGCTTCCTTTAAAGTTGCAACAAAAAATATGACTCGTTTGTTGCAACATTTTTTTCGAGGAATATGTTTCGTCCGCGGCTGATATCAGGGTATGCAATACCCCAGAACGGCAACGAAAAAGCAGATCTAACATCTTCGACGGGCGGGTCCTCAAGCACCACATCAAGTTAAGGCTTGGGAGTTGACCTATCATCTAAGAGCGTCTCTAGGTCTTCTTCAAGTAGGAAATCCACAGATATGCGAGCTAGAGACGCCAACGCTCAACCCCTAACCAAGCACAAACACTTACTACGCTCGTTTCGTTCGTCGCTGTTTACCTCGACAATGGCAGGACTCTCTCGAACTTCGTGTGGTCGAGGACAACTTCCTTCCACCAGAACGCATCTTCGGAGAGTGTTTCCTCGGTGCCCGAAAAAGCGTCTGGGATGGACTGCTGAGTGCGACGCGTTCCCCACCGATTCGGCGAGAACTCGGACAGTTCTTCAGAGCGCAGATTTGGCTCTTGTTAAGGGTTAAGTTGTCCGATAATTTGATCTTTATTCTCAAGAAGAGAAAGAGTTTCTTTACTTAATTCTAAGGCCAATGAAACTGATTAATCATAAGGTGAATGTGTAAGTAGTACATCGTCCATGAGCATGATGATATGGTATTACCGATTTTGTTCTAGTACATTAAAAGTCTAAATGGAAAAATCTTCTACGTCCTTTAGTTTTTGAATGTTAGATCCATATTTATCCCTCAATGATACGCATCGTATTCGTATCTGCTCTCGGTGAAGACGAGGAAACGATGGAGTCACGGATTTTTAAGAATCTCCAATCAATGGGTAATGCTAATGAATATTTATATCTATCATGATATATTAGGATATTTATTAATCTCTAATTTCCGCCATCGTCCTTACCGTGAGTTTCGTTCTGGTCGTCTCCCCTATTGCCGTGTTTGGAGCTATCCTGCACATCTTTCACTTTGAACAACGTGCGCGAGCAGTCTGGACTACAGGTTGGGCTGCGGAACGGTTTGTGCTAGAACTCGTACTACAAATTGGACCCTTTGTGCATCTTTTACTTATCCGCTATTTGCTCTTTCGGAAGCTGGATAGCTGTTTTTTTGTAGCGTTACGAGACTTGTTGCACCGATGCAATGGCGGAAAACGGATGCTGTTTTTTCAACCGAAAGCAACTTCTGGTGGTATTTTTGAACAAGAGAATCAATATCAAGTAGTTCAACAAGGTCAACAAGACGAACAGCGGCAACATCTTCAACTACAAGGATCTTCAGCAATTGCAATAGGCACAAGCGGCCCTCAAGGTCGTTCTAGAGGAGGAGGACAACACCATAGCGGCTCCTTTGATCTGGAACAAGTCACACCGACGACAGAGGAGAGCTTCGTTCCTATCAACAACGTCGAAGATTTCGTTGACTCCTTCGAGAATATCACGCCAGTCTCCAAAACTGTCGATGCCATGGCTTTCCGCTTGTGTAGAAATCTCTTCGGAGCTGTCCTTCTGATCTTGTTCTACTTGTTAGGGAACATTGGCGGAGCTGCTTCTGCAGCTAGTGCTAGTAGTGCCGCGGGTAGTAGTAATATTTCTACTATCAGGGTTGAAGCGATTACTAGTGTGTTGCAAAGAATCAACATCTTCGATACGCAATTTGTCCGTTTCTACGCTTATCCAGCGTTTCAGTTCTTCGTGATCTACGACAAGTTAGGTGTCAGGCGTGCATTCTACGCTGGACTTTTGACGTTTTTCATGCCTTCGATGCGTCCAGCATTATTACGGCTATTATCCTACTTCATCGCTGTGAGTGCTTTATGTCGTGAAGTGTTAGATCCGGCGATTGCAAGGCTGAGGGAACTCGCAGATCGAAACTTCGTCATTTTTTACGATGGAACCAGTGGGAGACTCGAGATCGCGTCTGAATCAGACTACACCAATTGGATCCGGACAGGAAGGTTTTACGCCAGAACAGGAAGATTCGTCAACACTGGAAGTAAAGGAACTACTAGTGCGCAGAGTGGTGGTGGTGGAGTAAATTATTCCATGAACGACCACCAGCATCAGATGAATATGCTAGATCTTCATGTAGCGGGAAGAGCGGAATTTTTATCAGCAGGAGCAAGGTCAAGAACTGGCTCACACGGATCCTCATTTGCAGGCGAGCAGGATAATGGAGACCCCACGTTTTCCTCCTCTCCCCCCTATGATCCTAGTACAGCTGGTAGTACATCTCCGTTTCAACACCAGGGAGGTTGTACTAGAGGTACAATTTCTACTAGTAGGGATAAACCTTCAAGAGCTGGTGCTTCTAGCATTGGCAGTAGAACGGTTTTCTTAGTTAAAACGACAGCATCTCTTGCGCGTGACTTCGCATTGTCTCAAATCCGGAATACGGTTTTCGGATTTAAGGACTACGTCACTGCACGGTTTTTTGGCACCAGTCGAGGAGGAACGACGCGGAATCACCTAGGAGGTTTTGGCCTCCATCAACTAGGAGTAGATCAGAGCAAAGAAGATGAGCTCAAAATAGTGCAACGAAATTTGCGCAATTGGTCAGAGACAAGGGCCCAGCATGAGCCGGAACTTCTGGGTTTTGGGTTGCCGTTAATTCTACTGATTGCCTTTGTCCCAGGATTCGGCGCTCCTCTAGGGTGGTTCCTAGCACAAAGCGCTGCGCCAGCCTTGTTTATTCGAATCTACGTCTTAAATTTGCTAGTATTGCAGCAAGCCATTGATACTCATAAACGAGGAGGAGGACAATTGAGAACAAATTCCACTTCTTTGTGAAAAAAACATCACCTCCTCTCAGTTCGAGTTCATCTAAAATGTCAATTATGATACCTCCCCTGAGCATACGTCTACCCCCAGGCCCAGACCACCCGTACCCAGCGGCCCCATGTCCAGCCCTAAATGAACCGTATTTAGACTAACTCAAAGGTGGAGCATTTCTGAAGGCAATTGGTGCAGTTGGCTTGTTGTTCAATGTATGAGCATTGGTCCTGCATCTGTGTTCTTTTCAGACTTCCGACGCGTGTAATTGGTCTTTCTACTACAGTTATGTTTATGAAAAAGACGGTTTTGAGCTTGATAGTGCAGAAGCTCTACCTCGATGCCGATATGTGAACTCGCTTCCGATCTTCCTCCAGATTATATTATAATCAGGTACTACTGCTAGTCCTAGTCGTAGGCTACAGATATTTCAGATTTCCACGATTACAAGAACCAAAACCAAAAGCCGCGAACATGATCTGAAAAAACGACAGGTGTGGGAGGAAGAGACAAAGTCAAAGACTGTGGAAAGGATATAAAATGATATTACTCTTCTTGATGTTCTAGTAGTTCCTCAGGTGAATACTGTGTCTGTGTTCTGACTACCTCTGCACCACTGAGTCCCACCTGTTGCTAGAGCTACTTCTCCAGAAGTCCTTCGCACTAAATTTGGATTTTCCCGTTTCTTGTGCTCGATATACATATAGCGAAAGCAAGAATAGCAATATTACCTTTGTACATGTCATGACGGTGCTGCGTAGTAGTCAACATCTATTTTCTGGTCGGGGGACACCAGCATCCCGTGGTGTGCGACGACGCTCGTCTCTCGGTGCTCTGCATGAAGAGGACGACGAAGCACACGATGACAACGAGTTCGAACAAGGGCCTTCCTCCACTTCGTCCTCTTGTTATTACAAGAAGTATAGGCCACCAGGGGCACGTGGCTGCTCTAGGTCAAGCAGAAGTATTTCCCGTTCCTCGGAGAACAGCGAAACTTCAAGGACTTTGAGTCAAACAAGCAATTATTTGAAAGCAGCTGCTGTTGATGTCACTCTCACGGCATCAAGAACAGATAGGAGCAAGAACAGTACACAGCAACCTTCTAGTGCCATACATGCTCCTGATCCACATCCAGCTGTTAGTAACAATCAACTACAGGAGAACTACAACATAAAAATGATAAACGGTGGAGGCGCATTTAGGTATACGCGTGTGAACACTTCACAAGTCCGCTTTCTACAAGACAATATTCGAGAGGAATTCCAAGGAGGAGGCTTGATATGGGATCTCATCGCAAGACTTCGCGCTTTGCTTAAGGTTACTACTGCAAAATAGCATAATTTCTTTCAGAGCTAGAGCACCTCTTGTTCATTATGATTAAGTACTTTGTTGTTGCCTGCATAAGCATGCTACAGTGACGAGTAGAGCTGCAATGGATCAGATATTTGAGGAATCTCTTCATATATCTCATTAAGAAAAAATATTTTTTGACCATACATGCTCATTTTACGCCCTTTGATCCAGTTCGTGTTTCTAATGTGTCAGCTGACAAAGATCCTGAGGTCATTCTTCAGACCAATATACTGGAGATATCCAGACATCCAAACGAGCCACCACAGAACGACGACAGACAAGGTGTCTTTTACGCGGTGTCGAACCGACGCGCGTTTGCCTACAAAACCGCGCGCCCTAACTGTGTCGTGAGGGCGAAGGTTCTGTCCAATCCACAGCGTTTGAAAGCTGAATTTGGTGGAAAGTTCTCAAATTTATGACTTCCTACATTAAAAAATGGTTCATATACATAGTAATCTGCTCTGCGAGTGCAAGATCACCTTCAAGAGCATGATGTCTGCAGGGATAAACCCTTCTTCTACTTGTTCTACTTGTTCTACACCTAGTACTAGTATGTTCATTCTTCAAGGGAAAATGTGGAAGACTGGTGCAGGAGAGGCTAGATTCAATGAATGATGGGTAGCAGCTCTAACAAACGTAACGCGAGGGATGTTCGTCACAGTCACACCGAGGGGTCACAAGCGCCTGCTGCAGGAGAGGCACACGTCAATGTGTAGTTCTGGAGGTGGTTCTAGTTCACCTGGTTCGTGCGGAGGCAATTTGTTCTATAGCAGCTCTTTGTCGCCTGTCCCCGTGCACGAGCGGCACGTGCCGTTGCACCCGAGCGACGTAGCGGCTCTGCGCGACGAGAGGGCTATGCTTGTGCGCAACCACAACCTGAGCGATTTCGTTATCACTGAATATATGCCGGGACGAAATCCGTGGATCTACTACCATGACGCGACAACTCAGCCTCGAGACGCAGGGCAAGTCGGAGATGTTATCGTGAGTATCGTGGCGCGGACAGAACAGGAGGCGGGGGCCTGTGGTGGCATACTATTCGACAAGTATTCTAGTCCCCGCATAGACAAACGGCAACAAAAACTGGAAGAGTCGTGGAGTGAGTCCTCGAGGAGTGGCAAACCAACCTTTTCACGAACATCGTCGCAGGATGACACAACTTCTGACAGTGAAGTTCTAGATGAAGATGATCACATGGAAGAGATCGACCCTAATGTGGTCACTAAAAGATCATCAGCATCAGTTTATTTTAGAGAAAATACTGATACTAAGAAAGAGGCGAATATTACTCATCGTCTTCGTCGGAGGACGAACACAAAGATATTGAAGAGCACCAAGAGCAGTAGTGCTCTTCCAAAGACAAAGTCGCTGCAGAAAACAAGCTCCAAGCCATATTATGATCCTGAAGAAGCTGTTGGTGCGGCGAACCATAGCGCTGAAGCCTCACGCTTGAATCCACTAGCCACTTCGTTCTTTTTTCCGCCATCTTCCTCGAGCGGAGGCCCTATGGAAAGTGACATTGTTGAGGTCGAGCAGTTACAACCAGGATGCGCGCCCGTCTCGACGTGCTTTTCAGAAAATTTGAATTCTTCTCAATTTTTTCAACGAGTTGAGAGCGTGTCAAGCGTTTATGTTCCGTGCAGTATCGACGCGGATCACAACCAGGGACGTTCGTATGAGGATTCTTGGTCGAATCCATGCGGATCCACACTCGTGACAGCGGAAACAAGCGTTAGTGTCACAGTGCCTTCTACAAGTCTTGGGATGTCATCCCAAGACGAGTTCGTCACTTCTAGAGGTCACGTCGGTCTCGGCCATGCTCCTACTGATAAGTATCTTCACGGACAGAAGCACGACAGGGATCTTCATGATCCATCGTCTACGGCTACTTGGTTTGTGAACACTGAGAAAGAGACGTCGTCAGTGGTGTCTTCCGTACCTGCGAACCAAGGCCTTGAGGTTTTCGGAAGTCGTCTTCTTGAGAAATCTACTTCGCAACCTCGACCTGTGGATCATAATTCGGTGCAGGTACTACAGCATACTCCGGAATTTTCTGCTTCATCTGCCCAGCAGGTGCACTTCGACTTCCAAGCTGGTGCGCTTGCTACTTCAGACGAGGCAAGAGCAACATTCGATATACAACAACACGAAGCGAACCTCCATTCGTTCTGCGTGGAGGAGGCGAACGACCAAGATCAGCGTGGAGGTGGAGATCCTTTCTATTACAACAACGTCGTTGCGCTTGCTGGAGGAGGAGTACCAGCAGAAGCATCAATGAAAGAGTGGGAATGTTGGGCAGAACATCAGGCACAATAAGCGGGGGAAGGGATGATCTTCGCTGAAGGCGTCTTTCGAGCATTAGGCGGTCGCGTACTTGAAAAGTCTCCAAGAAATGAGGCGCAGTCGCAGATAGAAGTAGAGCATTCTTGGACCACTATGAAAGAGATGGATCATTGGACAAGGACGGCGCCATTTCCACCTTTAGTTCTGACGCGCCCTCAACACATTATAGAACCTCTACTACATCAACCTCAAGCTTCCCATCCCCAAGGAGCCGAGGCGGCAAGCATGACACCAGACCAGCTTCAACAAGGGCCTCCGGCTGCCCCTGCACTACAATTTGGTGTGGGGACGAATTCGTCTGGGTCTTGCGATGCTGCTTTTCCTCCACGACCATCTTTGGAGAAGCAACTGAATCCCTACGGGACAAGTTTTCATCCATCGATGCCTCTGGCTCCTGCCCTTCATCCTCCCCATCCATGGACGCCAAAGGAGCCATCTGTCGCACCATTTACTTCCCCACCCTCTTGGAGTCGAGATATACTCCGAGCCTTTGCCGGCAAAACTTTTCGGGTGCAGGGTGTGAAGCAAAACAGAGAAGTGACAAAGAGTTCAAATTTTCCGACTGGTGCACACTCAATCGATGTCGCTGAGGATGACGGCACCGTTGTTATTGGCGAGGTAATAGAATCCCAAACTGGGTTTGTTGGTTGTGAGGTACGACGATTCGATATAAAATGTTCAGAAAGAAGACCTTCTTTGTATTTGACAATACTCGGTCCTAAAATTGATCCTCATTCCCCTGTTACTAGGCTTAGAAATGATGACAACTTAATCAGCGATCCAACCATTGCCATCCCTACTTCCTCTACTTTATGTTTATCTTCAAGCTCAAAAATGAATACTCCATCTAGTACTACTAGTAGTTCGAAAAGTTCTACAAATTTTAGTAGTGCAGGACCTTTCGCTCCTGGGTGGACTTGTCCATCTTCTAGTAGTAGTAGTACAGGTAAAATTGAAATGTTCGAACCTTCTACTTCTTATTCTTCTAATGTTGTACCAGGTACTTCTGCTTCTAATGTACCAGATACTAGCAGTCGTACTTTGACTCTGTGTTGTGGACATTTTGAGAGTGAAGACTTCACGCCAGGTGAAAAAGTCACCTGGAGAAATATTGATGAAAACCCTCTGCGCCACAGGGGGATAGTTGTGTGGGAGCTCTACGAGTGAAGGATTTTCAATATTGCCACGGCTGTAGTCGATCATTTTTGATCACAATAATCAATGCGCTGCATAGCTGTTCCTCATCTTACGCCGCTAATACCGGACATCGACATTTCCTTTTGCTCGTTTTTGAATTCGATTGAGATCGTGGCTGCATTGTCGCAGATGATTCCTCGGAGTTCGCTTCAGCCTTGTTGTGTGGGTATCAAGAAACGAGTGGAAAAGAAAAAGTTGCAACATCTGTTATTCCTACATCTAATCCTCGGCTGACGCTATTCATTGCGTCATTTTTAAAGTTCAGACTGAAGGTTCTGGAGAAAATGAAACACCATGAATCTGTCTGGAAATATCGCCAGCTTCCCTTTGTAGCCTTTCGCACATCGGTTTCTCGTGTCTACTGCAAACTCACAACAACCCCTAGTCTGCCTCTTGCGTAATTTTTCCCCCTGCATTATATACCGTAGCTTGTAAGTGCCGGCATATAACAAAAACCTGCCTGATAGATCATTCTTGAAAGGATAGGCTTTCTCAATATCAACAGCTTCATTCTACTTGTTCACGTTCGTCCAGGAGCGTTTAGAATCATTAGAAACAAGATGCTCTCTCTGTAGCTGTTCGTCTTGTTCCTCATCTCGTGAAAAGAATATGTAGCAGTCTACTTAGTCTTAGACAGTTGCACTATGTGCTTTATGCGCTTCCTTATCTTCTCTGAAAGAGAAACTCTTAGGGGTAACAAATTCAAGTAGAAGTAGTTGCTCTTCTAGAGAGACGAGGTGAAAATCTTTCCTAGATTTCCAACTCCACTAAGCATACTCACAACATAGACCTAGACTGTTGACAAACTAGACTCACAACTTACAACACTTACATCATCTAGAACACACACCAAACTCAAGGACAACAAGAAAGTACGCACATCAAGAAGCAGACATAATACTCACATCAACAAGAAGCTGCAGAGCAGAAGCGAGAGTGACTCTCTTATGTCAGAAGATCGAAGATCAAGACGAGAAAGACAGACTACACTACATACGTTCTACTGGAGGTAGTTTCGACCACGACTTGCTTTGAGAACTACAATGCTTGACTCCGACTGTTGACGCAAGAACGGAACGACATCAAGAGGATTGCTACTGGTTACCGCCTAGCACCGATCAGACAAGGCCCAGGTATCTATTACGATAAGTGTAGTACTTTTCCCCTTGGTCATGTCCTCTGCTTCAAATATTTGAAAGCCTACCTTTCCATGCTATCGCTGCGATCATCAACCAAGGACTACGCCAGGTGGTCGTGGTTGTAGTTGGCAAAACTATAAGAAACTCCATACTCTTTTAGATCTTTGCTCTTTACTGAAATTTCTGATGTCTGATGAAGACCAAGAAAGAATGATCTAACTTTCCTACTACATCGATCCTCGTCAACAGGTTGCCACACAGTAGATTTTCGCGGCACCGACGTTTGAGGATTACAATCGTGAAGCACGACTATCGGGAGGTCAGCCGAGACGAGAACCTCAAGTAAAACAGTTGTATTTCTTATCTTTACTTCTCCTTAAGTATATATAGTTATACCACCTTTATGACCTCGGCAGTCTGCACTACATAAAACTGTGCGAGATTAGTTGTATTGTCTTGTACTGCTAAAAGTGAATGTTGTAAATAAAGAAGTAGAGAAGGCACAAGTAGAGTTTGGGAATTATATTGTTGCATTCGAATTCCTCGTAGTTCCCAAATAAGTCAGCACTTCTGCCATATAATTAGAAGATCTACATGAATTGACTTCCTACATCTTATAAGATGATCCTCTTCCAGGTTTTGTCTTAGAGAGCACGAGCAGGCACTTCGCTAACTGTGTCTGTGCATGGAGGTAGATATAATGGCGTGCCAAAACCTAAGCCAGAGTCAGCGTCAGATATCGCCGATCTTTCTTATCTTATCAGCTGATAGAAAGAAACTTGTAGTACTACAGACCTCCAAGCACTCACTGCGTTAGTAGAGTAAATGTAACTAAGTACATCTGTATCTGAATGCTTGAACCATAATCATGGTTTTTTTCTTAGGTTTCGACTGCGTGAAAGAACGGACGTAGGGAGGCGTTTTAACATACGGGAAGGGAGACGCTATAAGATACGGATAGCATCGATCATTGGCCGAACTACGCAGGACGCTCCTTACCAGGTAGATACACTTCTTCACAAATAGAACTAGCTACGCCTACGGATGATTGAAGTTGCTGCTGCAAATTGAGTATTGATTATGATTAGTGGTCCCGTTTCCGATTCCTGATTAGCATGTTCTTCAGAGTGAATTTTTACTATCACTCATTCCCATAAAAAAACTCCCACAGCAGGTGTTAAGTCAGCACTTCGAAGAAGACCGAGAATTAAGCACGTCCGAAAGACCCAACGTCCGAAATGACTTTTCTCTCGAAATTTGCTTTAAGGCTTGGCCTACAACTATGTGTAAAGATAATCAATCGACGGATCGTCATCCTGCCTTGAAAGTTACAACTTGGCATCCTTATAGCCGTGGTAACGTGCACTAGTTATATTAGTTCCTTACGAGGAACTTGTGATTATAAAAGTCAATTTTGTAATTGTGAATGTCTCTAATTTCGCGAGTCGCGGCAGTGACTGGAGCTGTCCAGTCAGTCAGCCGTGAACAGAAGTCTCGAAACGATGAAAAGGAGCATGAAATGGATAACAGGCTCATTGCGCAACGAAAGCAAGAACAAGAACGACAACGAGCGAAGCAGGCTCAACAGATGCAGCAGCAGAAAGAGAAAGAACAAAAGCCCAAGAAGCAAGAAGGCAACCTGAAGAAGGAGGCAGACGCACCGAAGGCGAATAAAGAACAAGAGCTCAAGGACAAAGAAGACAACCTGAAGAAGCAGGCAGAGGCACTGAAGGCGAAAGAACAAGAGCTCAAGGACAAAGAAGATAACCTGAAGAAGCAGGCAGAGGCACTGAAGGCGAAAGAACAAGAGCTCAAGGAGCAAGAAGAGAACCTGAAGCAGAAGGAAAATCCGCTGCAGGAGGAAGGACAAGAGCTCGGACAGAACAAACAGGATCGGGGGCAGAAGGCAGAGACCTCACGTGGCGGCAGCTGCGCCAGTCCCGGCGCCAACTCGGCTGAAAGAACGAAAAATTTGAGGGGTTCCATCGTCGATGTAGAAAAGTGAACATGTTGTCAACGTGATCAGACATGTAGTTATCGGTTTTGTCTTTTATAATAGATATAGATTAGAAACTGATGGTTGGCACGTACTAGAAACCTTGTATTTGTGCTATGACTGAGCCACGTATTATCGTACCATTGATATTTCTGTGGATGTGGATAGCACACCACGAATTTGATTTTTTTAGATACTGTTTGGGCGTTTGTACAAAAATTACTATGTATTATGTTGAGGGATTATAAGTCAAGAACTTGTAGTTGTACGTGAACATACCATTTCCATACCGATGTCAGCTCCTCTGTATGCATATTTGTCTTTCTCTACTTTCGTGGTGGACGAGATGGATCTACTATATGTACATGTACTCTGCCGTTATAAGATAAATAAACGTAAACGCAAAACTGTGAAAAATGTATGATATTTTGTCGAGTCTTTCACAGTCGTAGTAGTTTTGGTTCCTTCGTCATCGTTTGAAGCAGTCGCTCGTCTCCGACATATTGACAAATAAAGACGAAAATGTAATAGTACGGTCTACTGCTAACCTGATTGGTACACACATGTTTTACAAACTTCAACTTGCACCAACATCCATCATCATGGTTGCATAGCCATAAGTTCTTGCACAAAGTTAATCAAGACAGTTAATGTTGTGCGAATTAATTCAATTAGCTTGGTGAAGAATGCATTATTGTCCTCTCGCTCTCAGCTATTAAGCCACGAAAATCCACTTTTGCGTGTCTGTGGTTCAAATTCGGTATGCGTACTCAAACTCATTCTGTTTCTACTTATTGTATTTCATGATCATTGCAGCGAAGGTACGCGTACGTCGTGAAAGCGACACCAACTCTTAACAGGCCCTGCAGATTCGGTTACATGATCGGTAGTTCTTTCTTGTGTGTCGGTAGAGCCACAGTAAGAACACGTCGGAACAAGAAGAACGATCTCCCTCCCCACACCTCCAAAGCCCCCCCTCAACAGAACTCCTCGAACTTTTACTGGTTAGTTGTAATTGCCGTATCCCTGTAACCATTTTTCGAAATGAATGATCATGTTGTATATAGAAGCAAGTGTGCCTAGCTTCCTGCCTTAGGTTCGAGCTCATGTTCGACTTCAAGTGCATGTAAAAGTAGAAGAGCCGAGATGTCGTAGGTGTGTAGTGTAATCAAGATCAAGTCCAAGTGTGTAGTGTGAGTCTGTGGCGTTCCATCCTATTTCATCTGTGAATCCTTCTAGACTAGTGTTTGTATTTCTCTCTCTTTCGTGACGGGCGGTCCCCTTGTTTCTCTGACAAATTCTGGCTGCATTCCCTTGTTTCTGTGACAACTTCTCGTATTTGTTTCTATTTTCTCTTTTTTGACAAGGACAAGGAGTTGTAGAGAAGAGCGAGGACAAGTAAGAAGAAGATGTTGGCCGCTTCAGGGTCAAAAACGAAGGTGGTCCAAGACCCTGTGGTTCTGAGGCTCCAAAGTTTGCAGGAAACCTACTCAGCTTCTGCCGTCGAAGCCGCCAGAATAGCGCTGGGTATCCCGGCTGAGGAAATCCATGCCAAAGATTAAGGCAAGGATATGCGTGAATAGTTGTCCATCTGTGATGAAGGTGAAGGTGAAAGTAGGGCTAGGGTTTCTCACTGTATTTATTTATTGATGAACGACAATTGCATGATCTTGTTCTAAACCTCTACCAAGGTACTACATGATCTTGATCCAACGTAAAATTTCTGTGATGTACCTTACAGATTCTTTTTCTAATAACAAGACTTCACGAACAAATACGATGCCAAACTCACCGATCCAAGTGAGTTCAGGAAGGAATATGTCCCAGAGGACAGGTACTACTTCTACAGGAAATATTTATGTGGTACTACAGGAAATATTTATGGGTTATCATCTATGACGCCCTTGTGGCAGTCTGCACTGAACTTTGTGCGAGATAAATTGTAATTGTAATTGTAAAAAAAAGTACTAGTGGTAGATCATACCGTTACCGATACTATTAAGTAGTACAGTAGTACTTACATTAACAAGATGTATTCACTGTTGTAGCTACAATACAAGATGTAACATCTCCTGTTGATCATCTACTCTACAGATAGAGGAAGAAGAAAACAGATGAGAATAATCCTCACTATCCACACTGAACAGACTAGTACTACATTCTCATCATGATTACAACAATGAAACGAGGTCTCCCCGACTAAAGCAGCGGAAGAAGGAATTGTGGAATTTCAAGAGGGAATTGCATCTAGACGCTATAGAAGATGTCCTCACTGGCCACAGAAATGCTCCAATGCCTAAGCTGCGCGAGACGGGGCAGAAGAGATATCACCTGGCACAGCAACAGTTACGGAATCTTGTTGTACTTGTACCAGATGAAATATCTTTATCTTTATCTTCTTGTTGTAGCACTTTTGTGGGTAAATTTGAAGTTGAAGGCACCATTTTTTTCTAATTTCTTTATAATTTTCTTTCTTTCTTCTACTGTCACTTTCATATTCATATATCTTCATCATTTACATTTGCTACCCTCCTCCTACTAGTACTATTTTTACATACGAACATACTAACTGTTCGCTATGTAGGCTAGGCTTTAGATGAACAATCTCCTCACCTGGCTGCAATTGCATTAGAATAATGGGCTCCTATTTCACTTCCGTCCCCTCGCACTAGACTAGACCTGACGAGCAGGTAAATGAATGAGTGTTCTTGTTTCTGCTCCTATTACCACTACTGTTACGAACGTACATGTTCTTGCTCCTGTTCACACTGGTACTGGTACGCTACTGGTACCGCTACTGGTACGTACTTACACGTAGCTGCAGTTCTTGTCAAATGCAGTAGCAGCACATCCACATCCACATCTTCTAACCAAAGTCGGCGAAGGAGGGGATATTAGTAGCCCGCCAGCACCAGACATGAGCGAGTTCGATGCCGCCATGGCCATCCGAAACCAGCAAATTAAGGAGGAGTTCGAAAAGAGGCAAGCAAAACGGGCAGAGCTGATGATCCAGGCTATATTATGACTCGGATCGGTGGAGTCTCCTACTAGGAGATCCTTCTAGATGACTTGGATCAGTCTGCACTGAACTTTGTGCGAGATTGTATTGTAGTCGAAGAATCAAGGCGAACGCGGGGAATTGCCTTCTAGATGACTTGGATCAGTCGAAGAATAAAGGCGAAGGCGGGGAATTGCCTTCTAGATGACTTGGATCAGTAGAAGAATATAGGCGAAAACCAGAAAGCAAATTTTAACTAAGTAGAAGTAGCCTTAGTTACTTAGTTGTATTTCTCAATAGGCAAGCTCGTTCTAACTAAAGCAGATAGCGAACGGAAAATGCAATATGCGGAGCAGAAGGCGAGAGAAAGTAAAGCAAGGTATGATTTTTAACTCCTACTTGTACTTGATATTGATTAAGTAAAAATACATACCTACAGGAATAGGAGTGAGTGGTCCCCAGCAGCATGATGAATACGAATATTCTATAGGGTATGAACATGAAGGCCTAAAATACGACTAGTAAGACTGATTCCACGTGATTTCCACCAACCAAAAAGGAACATGTACCATTCCTCTACTATCCAACATGGCCTCGACCATTCAAAAACTTCTGCTCGCCATGGAGTCTACTTCCATCACCCAAAAGCGAAACTTCTACACAACTCTACACTCATCTACAGGCTCGACGCCTACAAAAAGGAATTAAAAGTTGCGCAGAAGGAGAAGGCCAAGGCAATACAAGAACGCATGCAAGCATGTTTGAATGCGGCAGCCGCAGCGCACAAGGCTCACATGGCGGAAGCGAGGGAAACCTATAACAAATTGGTCAGTCGCTTGGATAGAGCGCAGACATTTATGGTGTGGATGAGGATCTGCTATGTATAGTGAAATTTGGGAAATGATTTTCCGATGATTGACCGTTCAACTACCCGTGTAGCACGTCGCTAGCAACGCTAGTTGATCATGTCTCTGCCGAATACATCTACTTAACAAGCGTTGGTAAGGAAATTGAATTGTTGGGATAACCACTGCTGCAACATTATAGATGGGTTTATTTGTCTTCAAAAATAGGCTGTGTAGTTCTTGCAGAAGAACACATATCTTCCTCCTCTTCTTCCACTCTCCTGGCATTCTTCATTCGTCATCGCGACAATAAGCTGGATCCAACTGCGTTAAAGGCGAGTAGTGACAAAAGTCTGGCGATGACTCAGCATCGCCTCAAAAACGCGAAAGACAAGATGAGCCGAACTTGCGATGAACTCCAGCATCGACAAGCACTGGCGGATAAAAAATTAAGGGCCCGACTTACACGACTTAGCTTCTTGTTCTTGAAGTTGAAGAGTTCGGATTCTATTTCTTGAAACTATCTCATTTTTGACCTGTTTTTTCCTCTTCTTCCTTCGATCCCTTCAGGGCGGTTAAATATTTTATCTAAGTGGTGGGAAAGGGACAACATGCCATAAATGATGAAGATGACTTTTTTACTCAGTGATAGGGAATTGGATTACTTAGAAGCGTGGTTAAATAAGCTCTAAGAGAACTAGCAGAACAGAAAGAGGAAATTCGTCTGAAGATAGAAGCTCAGATTGTCGCTGCACAAGAGAAATTCGCGAAAATTCAAGCCGACGTACAAGAAACACTAGAAAGACAAGCGAAAGAACGACTAGAAAAACACGAAAACTTCGAAAATCACTATGCGGTAATAAAAATCCCTATTCGGTAATAGAAATGGTGTCCATCTTCTTGTTCTTGGTGTTAAAGTTAACTATTGCTTGTGGCTAGAAGTAAGAACTAGAGCGAAGGCTTCCTGTATAACAGAGCAGTTTATAGCACGTATGGAGTGGCATGGAGTGCATGGAGCACTTGCGCCACTCCCACGCATGGAGTGCATGGGGTGGCCGCGTGTCACGCATGGAGTGCATGGAGCACGAGGTGGCGCGCTAGCCTCTGCCATCAGCCGCTCCCCTCCTGTCGATCGATGGATATAAGTATAAGTATAGGCTTAGTGTATTAACTTTTGGGGCTGACGGGACGACGTTAGCGCCGGCGCTTAATTAGTTTTAGCAGATAGGAGGATACTTGATGATAACTACCCCGCTCACGCTCTTTAGTTTTCTATCTTCCTCTGGTCTTTATTTTTTCTTGGTAGGTCTGTCTCTCTGCTCTACCAACACTATAGGTTTAGTGTATTCGTTTTTTTTTCCTGGCTATATAAGCTTCACCAAAAAGAAAAGTTTATCTTTACGTTGTATTCCTATTCTCAAAAATGAAGGTTGTCGCATCGAACAGAAAGCAGTTTCTGAAAGAACGGTCGGAGCTAGTACAGCAGAAGCGGAGCGAAAAAATGCAGACTACAGCATCGAATAGGAACTCTTTAGCTAATGAAGTGAAGTTACGAAGAAAATGTGTAGTTTTGTTTTTCCGTAACTACTAGAAGTGAAGTAAAAGGAGAAGAAGTAGTAGTGATACATTTATAAAAAAACAAAGAAGGGTAGTACAACTGGAGGCGTTGCTCAAGAAATACTAGTCCACCTACTGTACCACTTCAACGATCCTCATTTCGTCATTAAATAAATTCATTTGAGGAACCACTGCATCGATCATGTACAATGGTTCCCCCAAAGTGTTTGTTCATGACTCTTTTTATACTTAGAAATAGAAGAAGCAAGGAAGCAAAAGTTTTTTCTTACAAGATTACATACTAAATTATGATCACAAGGATTCTCTTCTACTTGTTTTCCGTTGTGGTCAAAATCAGGCTATCAAATGCGAATACCGGAACCATGCAACTAACTTTACTAATGGTGAACGTGTGTGAAGAGATGATCCCCATCCTTTCTGCTCCTCTAACCCTTGGTCGGCAACAAAGTTACGAAAACCGGTCGCGACATATGGATTCTAGGGTCAGCTATGTGAAGGACCTACGGCTGAAAAACGGCATGGACGTTTTCACGCATAACGAGCAGAAGTACGAGACATTCGGAGCGCTCCAGCAAAGAAATTACGCAGCGAAGCTTAGATCCATCGAAATGGCGAAAACATGCTCACTGTTGAAGGTAATGATTTGATATGAAATAGAAGACTGATTTCTCATCTGATAGATATGGATAGCCCCTAAGGCAGTCTGCACTGAACTTTGTATCCCCTACGCCGGTATCCACGCGAAAAATACGCAGGTCGGTTTTGATTTATCGGAACTCGCTCGCACTACAAAAAAAAAAGCGAGATTAATTGTATTGTATTGTATTGTATTGTGCGTGTTCCTTTCCCTTCATTACAAGGAGAAGGAATGGGACGTATCGGTATCGTAATCGTTGGGCACACTAGTTTTGTTTTAGAAAAGGAGTAGATGTTCTTCTCCTTTGGCCGCTTAAGTTATCTCCAGTCCCGACTACGATGTCCCTCCGTTAAGAAATTTTTGAACCAAAGCTGGAACAATCTTCGAAATATTCCACCTTATATATACCCGTAAAAGTAAAACCCCCACTACTTCTCCAGGTAGCCGAGACTCGCGCCAAAGCTGAGGCCAAGGAAGCCCAATTCCAGAGGGCGATGGACATCAAAAATCAGATGTTCAGAGAGCTATCGGCGAAGCAGGAGAGGCTGTCCATGACGAAGGACCCCAAGAAGCTAGCGGAGGTCATGCAATCAATGGGCATGAAGGTCCCAGCGATTTTGAGGCCTGGAGGCGGAAAAAAGCAAAAGGAAGATGAAAATAAATAGGGACACGGATAGGAAAGATTGATCTTAATCTTTCTTTTGGACTTGGACTTGGATGTGGAGAACAACGAGACATTTTTCTAGTTCCTATGGGAGGATCATATGCATCTGCATGCGGTAGTGGTCGTTACAAAATTAAAAGTTCAGTCAGAACAGAACTCCTCTCACTTTAAAAGTGTCAGAGCAGAGGTATCCAATTCGATCATGATCGGTGCTGTCATGTTACTATGATCATTTTCATTACTCTTCATTTTTATATCGATAACTTCCTCTCTGCTTTTCTCTTATCCTCGTAGGATTGTCCTTTGAAATTCAACACAACATTGATAATGCACTACCTTTTGCTTTTACATTTACAAGATGATAACCTGAAACTTCGACAAACTCAAACTGTTGCTACGCAAACTCAAGATGCAACGATAGATTGATGCATACTACACCAAATACGCACCAAAAGTAATCGTTTACTAGCTATTCCTGATCATAACGAAAGTGATATGATGAAATTTTTCCACTATTCTAACAGAACCGTCGATGGATGGTCTAAACCAACAAGATATGATAGTTCATTTAACACAGAAGCTAAATGCAAAAGAAATAGAATGTTCATAACGCAATAACATCAAACGGGGGGGAGCGTCGTCATAAGCAAGAATTCCGAGACTGAACTAATGTGCTGATGATGTGGTATAGTAAGGCTTAGAATGTCTGATGAACGCGAAAATAAAGAGTCATCTACTACTGTCCACCTGGGCACTAAAGATGATCAACGCATTGTTTTTTGCTACACGTCAACTTTCTTGAATAAAATGTACAAAATCATTGTTGAGTCGATCTCCATATTGCTGCTTTCATATGTCTCTTTCCTGTATAGACCAACATTCAGCTACTTATCTTTCCTTCTACTTGTACTATCTACTATAATCTTCATATGGCGACATATGACAGCGAGGCACGTCCGTGACAGAAAATTTCAGACTGCGATGGGAATCCGTGGAGTTTATAGAAAAGGATCAAGAATATCCTCGAAAGTGAGCATGTGTTGAATCTCCTGAAGAGCATCATTTGATGATGCAGGTCACACTGTGGACAGCGAACCACCTCCTATCCTATCCTAAGCGCATCATATGTTTTTGTCTTTGTCACCACGCAACGGCAGTACATAGGCATTAGGGCTTGCACCATGTGTTTCGCAAGGCAGGGCCGCGTGGGAGGCTCGAACAATGATGCAAACTGGGCAGTGCAACCGCATTCATATTGATTCTTCAGTTTTTTTTCGACCCCCACACCCCACCCCTCATTGTCCATATGATTGCAAGAAAAGACAGTTGCATTCTCACGCTTCATTTTCGAGGTACTGTAGTTATTGATAGACCAGGGACTACTCGTCAGCACGCAGTAAAAAAGTAATCACTAGTACCACAACCACCGAGGTCATGCCCGAAATTCACATTTCGCAGGATGGCTTTAACGGCCTTGGCACTGAGGCAGAGGCAGTGGGAAGTCCTTTCTCCCCTAGTAGAAGGTCACCTGGCATCCAGCGGGTGAAGTCGCCTAACACAAAGGTCCATGTTGCTCCTGTTGTGGAGAAAAAAGAAGAAGGAGGTACCGAAGATGTAGCTGAAGATAGAGCCGGAACTGGGAATAAGGAGGACAATAAAGAGCTCGTGAAGCTGAAGGGTCAAGTAGAAGATGAAGATGAAGAGGCGAAGCAGGAACAAGAAGATCAGGCAAAAGAGTCCGTCAGCCAGAAAAATCTTGACAAGGTTTATGCCACTGCTGCTTCCGCATCCGCCGACCAAGAACCGCTGAGGTCACAGATACAACCAGGAGATGGAGAAGGACCTGCTCCACCAATATCTGCCAGAAGTAGCAAGACTCCTCCTTTGTCTATCGACTCTTCCAAAGCTTCATCGAGCAAGCTCTATCCTACTTCGTGCAAGAACTACAACAAATTTTTGGCTGCGACGTCACCGAATCCGTCCGAGAAGTCCTCAGGTAGCAGGGTGCGGAGAAGTAGGCCTTCCGACGTCTTGGCTGGTCGACATAAGAAACCAGCAAAGCGGTCAGGAGTGCGTCGCAGCGTCTCGAAATACTTAGAGGCTGAACCTCCAGCTTTTGTACAAGTAGAGGGTGGCGAGGGCGAGGGCGAAGAAGGGACTTTGGAAGAGTTATGAATTCATGAAATGATGCTTGAAGTTCGTTGAGGATGCTCAAAATTCTAAGCTAGGCGCATTCTTTCGATGTAGTAAAAACTGCTTCTAAGTACAACTTTTTCACTTATACTTACTCAAACTTCTGTCAACATGAGATCAACATCCAGGTGATCCTCTAAATCATGAAAGCAATAGCGTAGACGCTGGCGCGTCGTCGAAAGCAACTACTCCGGTATCGATTCCAGAGCAAGCAGAATTCAAGGGAGAGGAGACCGAGACGGCTACACCAACGGCTGCTGCCGAGGGAGAAAAAGTTGACAACGAGGGACCTACACCCACAGGAACTACACGGAGTAGCAAAGTGCTGGAGAAGGCAGCAGCAGTAGTACTTGCGCAAGAGCCTCAGCTCGCAGTAGATGAACCTGAACAGACGGCACACGACGAGAGTGCTGGCATGCCGACTTCTCAGATAGTACTAGACATGAGTAAAGAAGTAGAAGATCAAGACGTGAGTAAAGAAGTAGACCAGAAAAATATCATCATCAATCATGACGCCTTCGATGCAACCACCAGCATTGACGTATCGATTGCAGAGGCATCAGCCACAAGCACAACAGCCGCATCGGTGGCGGAGGTCGTCCCAAATACAAATAGGGGATCGGAAAAATTCAGTACGGCTGATGTACTAAACGTGAGTAAAGAAGTAGAAGATCAAGACGCTGATACAAGAACTGCTGCCGGGAGAAGCACAGCTCAACTATCGGCGACTCAGAGTAGACCGTCATCAGTGCGATTGAGCAATTTTTCATCTGGCGGATTGGTCGAGGACGTTACTTTCGGAACAAGTGCTAGGATGACGACACAAGAGGATGAAGAACAAGTAAAAGACGGTAACGAGCATCATGCCACCAGTACCCATTACCCTTCTTCCGCGACTTCAACGAGTGCGGTCAGTAGCGCCGATATGATAGATATCACTTTCGGAGGTCCGCGAATTGACTCTTCAACATCAGAATTGACGAACAAGCCATTTGCACTACAAGTTAATAAAGCAGGAGAGGAGCCGGCACCCGGTCCTCGTCCTACTCAAGATACTACAACTACAGGAGATCATGATCAAGTTCAAGATGCTCCCAATAAGACAAGACCTACAGAATCCGATTACGTCTTTCCAACAACCACTGATGGCCAGATGATAACACGTCGTCAAGATTCCCTAGAAATAGAGAAAAGGCGGACTATGACGCTAGATTCGTTCTTGCGTCCTAGAGGATCGAGCACTAGAATCGGTGAAGAGGAGCAAAGGCAGTCATCTACTTCTGCAGCTTTTGGCGCAGCGGATGGTGTTAGTAGCAGTGGTTTGTACGTGCCATCATTTTTGAAGAGTTATCATTATGGCTTTATGACGGACACTACTTTCACGTCTTCAAAAGATCACGATCCCTCCTCAAGTGCAACTACTGCTTTTAGTACCTCGCAACACACATCATCACAACTGTTGAAACCAGCGGAACAAGTAACTGAAAGGCCACCTGTGCGTTCGCAATTAGGAGCTTATACAAAGACAATACTTGTTGGGGATACACATTCAGACGAACGTTTTGTTGCAGATGCAACCACAGCTGATAAGGATATTAACCTGGGCTCATCTACGAGTGCTTCTTCCTACAGTCGTTCGACGTGGAGTTCGGCTGCTGCTCCCGACGTAGGGCTCACCTCGTCTGATGGGTCATCAGCAGCGGATAATGCGGCGTCGGTTACCGGCTTTGGAAGTCGTGTTCCAGTGAGCGATACATCATCTTCAAAGCGAGAACGCATGCACGACCTCCAGCAAAACGAAGGCAAACAGCAAAGAAGTTTTCTTTCTGAAAGAGCTCAAGAAAATCAGCAGGCAAAAGGCGGTCGTCGAGAAGTGGGTACTAGTTCTGCACCAACGCATACTAGTTCTGCACCAGATGAAGGTTATGATCGGAGATGTAGTTTGGAAGCATCGGCACGAGCACCGGGAGGTGATAATCAACTTTTTCAGGGCTATACCAACGGAGAAGTGATCTTGCACCAAGACCCACAACCACAACTTGCTCCTATACAAGAGCAAGAGTCGTACGTTGATGTTCTTCAACCTCCGACATCGAATCAGCAAGCACTGGAGAACAATAACGCAGCACCCCAACTACATCATGACCAAGAGGACACAGACCTCGCTTTCCTCCTTCGCGGCGGCGGTGACGTAGACTTCAGGCGCTGGCTTGCGGAATGCAAGCGATTTCGGGAGTCTGTGGATCCCAGCGAACTAGACCTGATTCTCAGAGACGATCCAACTACACAGGAGAAATTACGAGTGATCATTCCGACTTCTGCCATGTACGAATCATCGCTACGTGGTTTGTCCAACGCACGACAAGAAGCAGCGGAACTCTTGAGTAAAGCTGTTCGGAGTGGTACTCGTGCTGCAACTGCAAGCAATGTTGTTGATAGAAACGGAAACCGAGTCTCGTCCAACACCAAAACCACTACCTTGTTAAGTGACCTGCGGTCGACCCTATCTCGCTTGGAACATGGAATGGAACTAGTGACGGAGCATGCTTCGGCACTACGTGGCGTAGGCATAGATCTCGGCAGACATCCAGAAGATGTCTTATCGTTGTCGAGGACTGTGCGGGGGATGGTCAACGTGCACATGGAGGACCATATAATGAGTGATCGTTCAACATCATCATTGGGTGTTGCGCCACCTCCACTATTGCCTGACATAGAGGATACAATCAACAAGATGGACCCTCCTACTACCTCCACTACGACCTGCACTGCTCGTACTTCAAAGACGAGAACATCTCCAACAGATTCGGTTTTCGCTAGGAATGCAAAGAACTCAGCAGCTGCTCTTGCGCCGCCACGCTTGGTCAGCAGTGGGAGTCCGGATGCAGATGCTTCGGCAGTCGTAGTGGAACAAGATCATGGATCCTCTTCTACTCAACATTTTTTCCCTTTCCCGAGACGGGCAACTACGTCTACACAAAAACAAGAAGTACTGGAGGCAACTAGGCCTCTTTTTGTCTCAAGTACAACTAGGGCACCCACTTCTTCTAGTAACCTCAGGAGAGAATCTTTCTCAAGTACAACTAGAACTACACCCACTTCTTCTAGTAACCTCAGAGAATCTTCAACCACCGTTGCGCATGGTAGAGCGGAGACCGTAATAAACCTCGAACAACATCAGCATCAGCAACACGTAAGACGAGATCATCGAGAACAGTTACAGAGGCCCTCTGCCTCATCTTCTGCCTCATCTTCAGCTGCATCGGCGTCGGCTGCTAGCTCGTCTACCACATCAGGAGCCTCGTGGCGCAAATATCTGAGAAGCGAAAAAGAACTCCAACAGCAACAGGATCATGGTTCTTTCTCGTCAGCATCTTCAGCTGTTTCGTCTTCTTCTTTTGCAGCATCTTCTGCTTCGTCAGCCGTACTTCTTAGTGAAAGAAATGCTGGAGCTGGAGGTTCCTCTTCTACTTCTAGACACTCTAGTACTTCTTCTCGGAGGCATCCTCTCTGGGGGGAACACAATATCACAGCCGAAGATCAGAAGAAACTGCTGAAAATGTTGCGAAAAGAGCTTCAGCAAAGTGGTGCTGGTGGAGACCAACAAATGAATTTTTTGCGAAAAGAGCTTCAACAAAGTGGTCGTGCTGGTGGAGACCAACAAACAACAACTCCGACTTCCACGAACAAGACAACATCTACGTTCGTCGACCCAGAAACTGGAGAATCTGTTCTCTGGGTAGCTCTTTCTAAAACGCTATGGCGAACTGCACGAGCGCTGTTAGTGGCCTTTCCTGACAGGTGGAACTGGGAAGAACAACATGACCTGAAGTGTTTGCTGTCTCTTTTAGCCTGCAACGTGCCTCCCGAAGATGATCAGATTGACCTAGCAGTGAGCAAGAGAGAACAATTACATGCTGCAGCAGAGACAGATGGGCGCGGGGGTGGGTTTTCTTCCTCCACCACATCGGGTAGTGCGACTTCCGAAGCCGGCGACGACTCAACGCGGGAGCCGAAAGAGTACTACGCTGATGTTGTCAGTATCCTCTTGCAAAAAACGGCGGATGTGACGAAGTTAGCAGCCACAACGGGGTTCCTTCGTGCGGCAGCAGCGTGTGGGAACTTGTTCTTCCTCTACCGGGTTCTACGAGCTAGCACAAGTACAACATCTCTGTTGCGTGAGGTGACTGGGGCATTGCCGTTTCTTGGGGAGAATATGGAGAGATGTTATCAGCACTGGGCAGCCGCTGCCGCAGCTCATGGTGCTCAAGAAAATACAAGAGGACTACCTTCTTCTAGTTCTAAGACCTCCGAATCCGAAAACCATTTCTTGCAGTGGCGAGATTTACCAAAATTGGCTGCTTTCTGTAGTGAGAGTTCTTCATCTTCAACAAGAGGAGTTAATGTTAACCAGATGAAGGAGAAGGACGTGCTAGCTGTGCCAATCAATGGAACCGGCAACTCCTTTCCGGATTCTGACTACGCTGTTGTCAAGGCAGCTAACGAAAAAATGCTGCAGCTGAGTAGCAGGAGTAAAACGTCGAAGTCAACATCAACAACATCGGAGCTAGCCCTGTCGCAAGACGAGATTGCTGCGCACGATTTGCTCACTTTTCGACTTGCAGATGATACGAAGTTGTTTGCGCATCGTGCTGTCTTTTCATCGAGTTTCACAAAGAAGAACGGCTTTCAACCATCGTCAGTCATTAACATTGACAGTGTAGTAGTTCAAGATCCACGAGTGTGGCACTCGTTAATCTGTTGGGCATACAGGAGTGATTCTCTACTTCCTACATCTATGAACAACCATAGCGGAGCTATGACGACTGCAAGTACCCCTATGGTCTGGACAGCTCTGCGTTGGTGGCAACTTCTTTGTGCGTGTGTAAAATTCAACATTTCACAGGAGCTAAAGAGCTTTGTATTGGACCGATTGATACGAGATTTGAGAGAAGATAATGCACCGGAAGTTTTGGGAATGCTGCTGAAGTCCAGTGCGACAATAGGCGTACCGGAGATTGAGTTATGGACCATGCTGACATGTTACAACATTGACCCTCCAGATAAATATGATGGATATAGTTTCATCTTAGCTTTTCATCAACACTGACTCCTCCTCGAAGTAAACCAAAAGCTCTAATGCCAAAGCGGCGTATCGCGTTGAAGATGTGTCAATACGCTGGGGCTTGCATGGATCGCACGCAGACTGCGCAGAGGCTGAAACTACTGAAAACTTGTATCGACTTGTTTCGTAAGGATAAGGCTAGATTTCAACATTTGGAATGAAACGCCATTTCAGAAACAGAACTAACTTCATATGTAAGAATTAAATGTGCATGGTGATCCCTTATATTCCACTACTCGCAGCTAGTAGAATTCTCGTGAACTACTACAGTGCACCCTTATGTTTATGTAGACCTACTAGACAGCACCGGTATCAGTAATGACTTTTAATGAACCTCTTATGTCCATCTCATCGATACCAATATAACTTTTCACTAACCTGATGAGCTCCACAATACTTTTGCACAGGTAGATACCCCTTCTATTGTTTCATCAACGATAAAATGTCGAATTTGGTCAACTATTTTTTTGTCAAAGCTAAGTAACGTGACCTCTAAATTCAAGGCTAAGAAAGTATTCATGTCTTGTCTGTTGACTGTGGATCCCGTATTTCCAAAAGTCGAAACATTTTTGTACTTCCACGTCTCTAGTAATGTAAGATGAAGTTCAAAGCAACTACAAGGTCGTCATATGGATAAAAGCGAAGATCTCAACATAGCCAAGGCTGACATGTGAATGTGTGCTGCTCCATGTATATAGTGAGATTTTTCCTTAATGGGCTCTGTATTCATGCTTACAGTGACTCACTAGTATGGATGCACACGAGCAGCAGCGAGTCGACGTAAGCATCATGAAGAAACACTTCTATATTGAACAACCATCTGTCTGATAACAGTCGGCTCTCTACAGAAATATCGGTCTTCATCATTCGATTCTTTCAAGAAAGCGAGAGGTTCTGTGGTCTGTCGCCTTCGGTCAGTCTTCAACCATATTGATGATGGGTAATATTCCAAGATGAAATGTTCTTGGATGATCCTCCCGCCTGCTTTTCAGTTTTCACCACGAAAAAGAAAGTTATCAACCTTTTTATGAATGTTGCCTTCAGAAGAAGTAGTGGACTTCATCATATAAGTTTAAATAGAGTGGCTGGTCAATTTAACAAATCGTTTACCAAAGCAGTTACCGAACAGGGACGAGCAAACGCTTTTTCCCATTCAATAACTAACACAGGAGAATTGAAATGAAATCGTACGTAAAGGAGAATTGAAATCATTTGACAACAGGCTCACCACGCTCACCTCAGAACAAAAATATGGTGATATCCAGCGTTCTTCTCGATGCTTCTTCAGCGAGTTGGGGTTGGGGAGCAGCACCGACGAAAAGCAGCTCATCATCTTAAGGGTACCGCTGACGCATCCCCCTACATCGTGATCCTTGGCTTCTTTTTCAAGGGGAAAAAGGCCTCAGGGATGGACTCAAGGATGCGACGTGGTAGCTCTAAGCGTCTTCCTCCTTCTTTGGTTTGTGGAGCGACTTTGATGGCGGTAATTGTCCTCGAGAAGAAGGAATCGGAATGCTCCGAAGAGCTAATGGTTTGCCGGTCGCTATACAACATCCACCTCATCCAAGAATACGAGAATCAAGAAGAACTGCCTTCTCCGTAGCGATTGAGCCACCGATTGTCAAAGGTCTAGGCTGTCAGTCTGGTATCTTGAGAGCGAAGTTTGACCCTGCGACTGGGGAATTTCGAGGTTTGATTCAGCAACCGGGAACGATAACAGCGAAATTGAAGGATGGGGAGTTTGAACGTATTAACTCTAACCTACTACAACATCGATATTATTACACCAATAGAGGTGAGTGTGAGAACCAATGTTGCACTTGTACTTACTCTTAGGGACGAGTAGAAGAACATATACAGCTTCACCACGTGTAGTTTCATTCTGGTAAGTTGTATGTGCATTTCTAGATTCTCGACCGTGACACCCTTTCAGTTCCACCATTCTACCCCCCCCACTTCCAGGCGCCACACTAGCTCAAGGTGAGGACACGGAGAACGACAACGCAGCTAAGGGTTCCGAGGAAGCAGCAAAAGACGATGACGAGGCTGATGAAGAACCCGAAGAACAGCCTGCAGCACCACCACCAGCACAAGTCCCCATAGCAACTACACCTCATGGCGCGGTGTTTGGTTTTGGGGGTGAAGGTGGTCAAGCATGATCATGTCATGAAATCAAATGCCCTATGATCAAATTCGATTTTTGAATTTTACAACAGGCTGATTTGGTGAATACAAATGCCCGAAAGCGACATATGCTATCGTGGATCCAACGCCTCGTTGATAATTGTTCTACGAGGACTCGTTTGACAGAAAATTTCTGAGGTGAAAGAATGAAATCTTCACTCTGCCATATTATTGCGTGTGTTGTCGCTGGTCAATGTCGTCAAAGGCAAAGCGGTAATGGAGGATGATCAGCTTGAGAGTTTCAATACGAACCACTGCAGCACGCTTTTCTGAGCGAAGTTGTGTATAACAATGTCCGCAAACCTTTCTTCGATGAAGATCAAAAAAAGAAGTTTATTACAGGCGTGGAGCAGCATTGATGTGATGCTGAAGATGGTTTTGGTGAAGATGGTCATTGATTAGGACAATTCATGCCTATATGTAATACTAGAAGGTCTTCTAAAAGATAGGATTAGGATTACAAACCGCAACAAGAAAGGTCCCTTCGTTTATTCTGTGGTAGCGTCCAAAGCTGCACCGGTAAAGCAGCAACCTCCTTGTTCACGTCCTCCACAACACAAAAGAAAAATGACCTCCGTAAACCAAGTATTGGCCCTTTTGGTCCTCGACAGTGACCACCACCGATTAGCTGTGAAGTACTGTGCGCCAGGCCAGAAACTCTTCCCAACGGTAGAAGAGCAGCGGTCTTTTGAGAAGAAAGTGATCAAGAAACTGCCAAAGCCGACTGGTCGGCCATCCGAAGGCGACGTTGCGATTGTGGGAGACAACCAATTAGTACTCTACAAAATCATCAACGACGTGTACATTTGCGTGCTGTGCTCGACGGCGGAGAATGAAGTCATACTGTTATGCAATTTTTTACAATTTTCGAATTTTTCTTCCTCTTCCAGGACTAACTTCCATGGTAACTCTAACTGCTCAGAGTAAAAATAAGTTTAAGTAGTAAAAAGCCGATGTTCTGATGTCATCACGATAATTTTCCTGCTCTGTGTCTCTTGTCTCTGTCATCTTCCTGATGAAGGATTCACCCTTGCGGCCTCTTCCTCCTTCCCCTCTTTCATGTCCTGCGCAAGTTCTCGAAGGTCTTTGCCAAGCACTGCAATCCGCCACCCAGATGATGGCTTTCGTCGGCAATGGCATCACCAAACAAAGCGTGTTGGAGTGTTTAGACCAGGTTCTGCTCGTTCTGGATGAAGTGACAGACGATTTGGGCATAATCATGGAGGTCGAGGAGGAAAAGATCTTGAACCGTATCCGTATGCAAGATGAGATTCAGGATGTCGGAGAACCGGAACCAGCGGAGAAGATGTTCCAGCAGGCGACGCAGGCAGCGAAGAAGCGACTCATTGAGTCGTTGTTGGGTGGTGGACGAGGCTGATGATTGCTCCGCGACGTGTAGCAACTTCTAGTACAGCTACTTATAATAATCATCACAAAACAAGAAAGGAAGTACAGCTACTTAATAATCATCACAAAACAAGGAAGGCATCTGTGGTGGATCTTCTCGGAAAGTGATATTTTTCCGACACGTAATAAACACGCCCTCTTAATAACATCGTGCTGGCCACACTCCCCCCAATCTCATAATGACTCGAGTAATCCCTCTTTCAACAAGACATTTCACCAGGACTGACACCCGCCCTTCAAGTGACTGTGACATCAAGACCCTGTGATTATATTTTGAAGAAGAAGAATCAGGTTACGGCTACACGGACAACTACATGCCAAATATACGCTCTAAGGCTGAGCAGACACAGGTTCCCGGAATCATGCCTGTCTCATCGCTTAAGCATTCTGTGCTTCTTTTCTTAAAGTGATGGAGAGAGAGTTAGAGAAAAAGAGCGACGCATAAAGGAAATCCAACAAAGAGCGACATAAAGAGGCTTCCTTGCATGAGCCGCAATGTCGAAAAATAAAAACGCGAAAACGACGAAGTGAACTAAAAAAAATTTGCAAACGGCTTAAAGGGTAAAGGAAAAAAGGCGGACGAAAACTCTACTCGTCAAGGATATCACAAACCAGATGCCGTGGAGTGGTTTTGGCTAAACCTACATGTATATTATAAAGTAATTCAAGTTCTTTGATTTTGGTTCCAAGACTAGTGAGTCTAATGTGATTCAACAATCGTACAGGCTTCAGTAAACAAAACGCGATTACTTAGAAATATCCACTAACAACTACACTATCTTCATTATCAAATATTTACATCAGACTCAGACACAAGAAACAGCATGACCACCAGTAGTGCAGCTAGAAGCGCCCCTCCTTCTTCGCGGGAAGAGGCGAGTCAGCTGTCGTCGAGAGATCACCCTCCCTCTTGGGTTTTGTCTGATAACCGATTAGGCGCCGCGACGGTCTTTGACGCGGACGATGACCAAGAGGACAGCATATTTGACGATGACGACGATGCTCATGAAATCGACGATCATGTTGAGGGAGTAGAAGTTGTGCGAGGAGGACCAAATAACGGTGGAGGAAGCAGTGGGACAGGAGCCATAGGCCTAGGACCCGCAAGAGGGCAGTACCATCTCCCAGCCTCCTCAGCAGCCGACTTCGCTTACTCCAACGATTTGAATGCACATGCATCTGGCAGTTTGGGATATCTGACGTATGAAAGTCAAGGTCTAGCTCAAGAGGATGACGAGTTCTTTCCGGAGGCTACTCGAGGGACCGAAGCTGTACTAGAACAGCCAGGAGAGCCAGATCCAACTATATCAACGTCGAAACAAACGACTACGAGCGCCTACACATCCCCTGTGGAGAGCACAGTATCGCACGGGCGAGTGGGACTACGTAGCACGGTGATTCATGCGGCTACACTCCAGACCCGAGGAGCGAGCAGGAGTTTATGCGCCAACCTGTGTAAGAGTGGGAGTAGAAAACATGTCATAGTCAACATCAAGAGGAGATACTGAAGAAGATATCTAAGTCCAACGACGCGTTTTTGCCCGTAGAACGTATTGCACGTAGATTATGATACGTTGAACGCAAGTTGTGTGATAAAAGGCACGACTGGGACTACTTGTAGATTCCTTTCTTCTTCCAGCCACTTTGTCGTCATCCACCACACGACACTGATCTTCCTACTTCATACCCTATGCCCAGCTCCATGCGGAGCAGCACTAGAAGGGGCCGGACAGCCTCCCGAAGCGCCTCAATCGAAAGGGAGATCGCGAACTTCAACATAAACATGGCCATGAAGCGGAGATACCAGAAGGAGTCTCCGAGTGCCAGAATGCGACAAAACATGAAGGACAAAGAGGAGTTCTGCCACGAGAAGAGACCCTTGGATCATACGAGGACGCTGGCTAAAAGGTATCTACTGCGCTGCACAACTGTTGGTTCTTCTAACTTCAAGTACTTTTTACTCGCACGTTCATTCTCAAACTCGTCTCTTCTTCACGACCAGTGTCTCCTTCAAGTTCAAACCACCTTCTACTGCATTTAACAATATAACTTTGTGATCTCTCCAAAATTCAGATTTTCCACTGCTACACATGGAGGTGCTGGCGGTGCCGATCCTTTACGGAATAAGCTGAGTGTGACGAAATCTAGACGCGAGAGTTTGTTGAATACTAGTGCAGAGGCCACACGGTCAGCGATGCAGGCGAGCATGAAAGACAAGAGGTCATTGCTTATGATGCATGATGGAATGTGGAAAAACGTCAGTTATGTTGTTGATGGTGGAAAAAATAACGGTAACCGATTTCAACACAAGTCGAGACCCACATCCAACATTTCCACAAGAAATCACTTTTCCTTCTTTCATACCCATAATCGGCGGGTCCGCTGCTGAGGGTGAAGGCGGTGGCCAGGCGAAACCGAGGTTCCCAGATCCTGACTTTTCGATCAGTCTAGCTCTACGTCCCAAAAGTAGCTACGCAGTGCGCACTCTTCCGACGGAGGGATTTCCGGCGACTCCTAGTAGCAATGTGCGGAAGGGAGAATCGTTTATGAGGAGTGAATCAGGTATATAAATCCCAGTCCCAGAAGATCATGAATTCCAAAATTACATCCTAAGATAGATTTGAGTTTGTTTTTCTTAGACTATATAGTTGTGAGTTCGCCCCCATCCATGAAGATGATTTTCCCAGTGTCCAAAATATGAGTCCAACACAGGTCCCCTCCGCGTGTGCGTTGTGCCGGACAAAGAAACTTTGCATTCTCTCCTCCGAGCCCCGAAGCAGGAAATCATTCTCCCCGAGCGATCTAGGCGCATCCGGTCTTGCGGGAATGACGATGACATCCAAAAACAGCTCAAAGGACCTCAATGGAACGATTATGGTGACCGCATAGTCCAGTCCAGATGGCTTCCTTCGAAGTTGCCGGTTATTCTGCTGACCGATTCCTTGATATCCGATACAGTATTAAGGGTTCTTGCCACATAAGTACACATTGCATTCTTCACTACCAGTCTTGGCTTGTTTTCCTTTTGGAAAAGGGTCAGGGATGACCTGAAGAATGCAAAAATGCCGCAACCTCTAACAGTAGATGACGAGCGGGGTGCTGGACGTAGCAGTTGTGGGATCATGGAAGACCCAATGGGGACAGGAGTTTACAGCACGAGCAATATGGCGAGTCAGTTGTACACCCTACAAGGTGGAGGAGGAGGTGGTGGTGGATTTCAAGGAATGAACAAAGGTGCAGGAGGTGGTATCGTAAAAAGTAGTGGTCAATTAGAAAGTGGGGAGACCAACAAACTTCAAGGCCGAAACCTGTTTCAACAGGAGTCTGTTGCTGGTGCTTCAAATAATGCCACGACTAGGAGTAGTGCCGCACAAAACAAATATCGCGTCCATCAAGACAACTCTGCGACTTTTGCAGAGCCTTTAGGACTAGGTGGAGGTGCTGCAGGTGAGCAAGTCAGCCCCAGTGTCAAGAAAAGACCATTTTTGCGAGGTCCTCAGGACATGTTTTTCAAGTCCAGCTTCCCTTCTTTGATGAAAGGGGCTACTAGTGGGAGTGCAGGTGGTGGTTCCTCTGACGCAGGTTCGCCCAGCAAAAGAGTAAGAGGTGCCTCTCCTAGTACAGAGACGCAATCAGCATCGTCATCTGTGTGGAAGACTCTAGTTTACGGTCCATTAGCAATGCTTGGGTTCGGTGGCGGCTCGTCAAGTAGCTCATCTTCGACAAACTTCGGGCCAAGAAGAGGAGGCTCATCCAGTGAAGGCGCAGGTAATGTTGTAGACAAAGACAGCAACACAGCAAAAACTAAAGGAACCATCAAAGCAGGAGGACAACAACAACATCAGCAGAACGAGGAACTACGAGTAAAACCCCTGCTAGCAGGCGTCAGCGAAGACGAAGTGCAAGAATTGTATCGATGCACAAACGACCATGGAGCTAGCATCTTCAAGGACCTAGACGCAACCTCTAGCGCAACTCAAAGTGATTCTGCTTCCCGTGGACCGGTGTTGTTTAGAAGTGGTGGCACTAGTAGCAGTAGACCAAGAAGAGCTAATAATATGCAGTCTTCAACTTCATCAGAGAGGACTAATAATGACAGGCAAGATCAAAATGATGAAACAGGAGGTTTTATTTCGGGTTCTCCGGGAAGTCTCGTTGTAGATAGAGCAAGTAGTAACTCCTTAGTAGTGGTGCAAGAAAACGATGCAGGAGGAGCTTGTCAGCGTGCAGGAGACTTGAATATCCTGCCATCGAACGATGCAGGAGGAGCTTGTCAGCGTGCAGGAGGCTTGAATATCCTGCCATCGAACGATGCAGGAGGAGCTTGTCAGCAAGCAGGAGGCTTGAATGTCCTGCCATCGCCTGATAAACCTCCTGGTTCTTCTAGTGGAGGTTTGACTTTGCCACTAGGAGGTCAAGGCGGGAGGTCAAATCAGCATGCTGTCGACAACAACGTAGTAGACCTCGATATCAGTGGGATCTCACCTACCTCGCGTGGATCGCCTCTTGCTGCTGCTGCTTCATCTAAGAACCCTAGAAATAACCCTCCTACTCCAAACAGAAGAAATACGACTAAGAAAAGTAAGAAAAGTCGACCTAACACTACGGCTTGCGGCATGTGCTATTCGAATCCTGAGAATCCAGATCTGCTTGTCTTCGTTGGCTGCAAGCTGTGCCTCTGTGGTTTTGACGGCTGGCTCTGTCCTCTTCCTTGTGCCAACGTAGCGCATCAACCTTGGGGACCCGCTTTGTGCTGTTTTTTTACCCTTTGCGCACCTTTCTCGGTTCCGTTTGCAGCACCTGTAGCTGAGTGGTGGACCAAGTCGAGTAAACTAAGGATTTTCAAATTGCATTTTTCACTTGCATCCTTGACCTTTTTCCAAGTGGAAAATGGGTGAAGGAGTGTTCTGAAGAATGTAATGTTGCTGCTGCAGCCCCTAAAAAAAGCAGAGAACAGAGAAGATGGACAAACACAAGACCAAAAGGGAAGTGGCCTAATTGACACCGTGACTCCTCTTCAAACGAAATAGCCACTTTCCTTTCTCTCTGATGTTGCCGGTCCTTCTGGCGTTTTAGCGAGACGAACGTCGGATGTTGTAAGTAACAAACACGGTACTTAGCACTTAGGAGTCCTCCGATTGAGTCTTGACGGGCCTGCTTCATACAAGAGAGTTCGAGACAGGACCACAACGACAAACTTACACTTAGTAGAAGTTATAGTTCTACTAGTAGGTTGTTCATGTTCTTCTCTACAGTACTTAGTTGTTCTTTAGATAATGCAACTCATACTTTCAGGTTGTGATGTATTCGTAACGGTAAAAGCGACTTATTGATAGTGATCATGACAATTGAATTTAAGGTTTCTTTGTCCACCAGCTTCTTCTTAGATAGAAGAAACGCCGTGTATGGATTCAATCTATTGCACAAAACAAGTCAATTCTGACGTCTTAGTAGATCCAACTTTTCTAGTGATCAACATTCGAAATCAACTAATACTTCTACGCGACTTATAGGACAGGTATTCCACTGAACAAGAATCTGGTAGCAGGCCTACGACTAGAAGTTTTTCAAGTATTCCGTAATTGATATGCAAGATCATAGATTCCAGGAGGAAGATCTTCTAATGAGGGCTGCCTATATCGTCACAAGAGTTTGCTCGATCGTCGCAGCGGTAGTTTTTCTACTTCTCTACTACTGCGTCGTTGTGTTTTCCGCTTCCAGCAGTACTTCCTCGAAGATGACCATGTTGACGGCGACGGGCACGGGAACAAGAAGACAACAAGTAATATCATCAAATAGAAGTGCGGCATCAAGAGGTGCTCCTCTTACGACTAGAAGTTCCTCAAGTATTCCGTAATTGATATGCAAGAAACTTCTACGAACCATGGTGTGTGGCGAAGGAGACCGAGAGCAGCATGTTGAGCGACATGATGTCACGACCATCCTACACTGGTTATTAACACTGAGGGCCTCAACTATACTCAGAGCGAGAGACACGACATGTAGAAGTCAATTTAAAGGAGAGAGAGGGACGAGTCAATTTGAGGGAGAGAGAGAGAGACAAGGTAGGACAACTAAAGTTTATTACGGAGTTGGAGGAATTATACAGGCCGTCCGTGCTACACTGATAGAAGCATTTGCTCACTTATTCTTAGCTTCAGAAGTACCTTCGTTGGCAACAAGTACTTATGAATTTCCCGGCAAGAGGGCGCTTTCGGTCGCTTGATCAGCATGAATTTTCTGTTGTGACTGCCTTTGATGTTGCGTGATTCTCTTCGTTGTTCATCCTCCTCCTTTATCATTCTTCTACTCACACTAACATCTCTCTACTGCCTGCGCTAACCCTCATCCTTTCCTTTGCTCTGTCTTTGTCTTTCGTTCTTCAAAAAAACAAAACCATGCAGTCGTTCATAACCGGTCAGTTGCTGCAAGCAGAGCCATTTCCCACTACATTCAGCAAGGACGTCGATGCTTCGCAGCAAAGGCAAAAATCCTCTTCACCAGTTCTCAATGCACCACAATCAGCAACCCCCTCTCCATCTGTTGCCTCTCTACAACAACTCCCGGTTGGTCCTAGAGTTGTACCTCCCACAACTACGACAGCTCCTGGTGGCAGCGGCAGCACAACTGCCAGCATGATGCTCTCTACTCCTCCACCACAAAATCTAGACATTATCCGCAATGTCGATCAAAGCCTAGAGGCTGCGGCAGCCAAAGTAATGTCTTCACGATCTTCGGGAGGCGGACACTTGCCAGCAGACCAAGAAGCGCCAGCTTTGATGAAAATGTCCACAAGACCACCGTCAACAAGGGTGGCGGCACGTGGCGCAGGCGGATCGTTGCGAAGGAGACCAAGCGATCCCTCAGGACAACATGCTATTATTATGACTGACGACTGGTAGTACAGTAGTTTTATTTTCCTAAGTTAGTATCTGAACAAGAAAGTGATAGATAAAGATACTCCGACTTGAAATATAACTTCTGAATAAGCACGCTACTCAAAAACGCTCTCCCTCTGAACTTGAAAGACCCAATCCCAGCTCTGCGCCCCACCTCCGCCTCTTCATACCGTTGCAAAGCGCCCACGCCTTGAACAGTGCTCACCACAACTTGAATTCTCTCGGCGCTGGGCTCAACGGCAAACAGGTGGTCTCCGACGCGACCGACATGATCAAAGGCTTTTTTGGCAACATCCAGAAGAAAATCGTAGATGTTTTCAACGAAGACGAAGCCGAGTTCATCACCGCAGCCGAACTACGTGCGAGAACGAGGCTCGGAGCTGGCAGAGCTCCTGGAACAGGGGGATCGCTTGCAGGCAGAGGAGGAAACACGCCTGGAAGCAGTATGGGATCTTCCTCTTCGAGTCGAGGTGGTGGAGGAGGTTGTTCTAGGAATGCGAATTCCACCAGTGCAAATCTGAGTTGTACTACTACTTCTAGCGTCAACACGGGTGGACCTTCAGGACGAGTTGGAAGTGCATCAACATCCTCTTCATCGCGTTCTGCAAATACTATGGCAGCTCCAGCTGGAAGCAAAAAGACAAGTTTAAGAAGTGATTCTTCAACTAGTGGAAGTGCAGGAGCAGGGGAAGCTTCACAACAGCCAAAATCTGATGGACAGGCCTCAACATCATCATCTTCTGCAACAACCAGCAGTCTGCCGAAACAAGCTGACGCCATTCAGCAGGCAGAACAGACACAAAGGTCTTCGTCTGCCGCACAATCCACCACAACAACATCAAACATCGTTGGTGGCGATGGTTCCACAGAGCCACCACGCGGTGCAGCCTTGTTTGACCCAATGCCGCAAGCGAGGTCAGTTGCACAAAATCTTACAACTGCTGCTGCGTCGATGACGAACACTTTTTTTGCGACATCAGGTGGTACAACTCCTATGTATCTTTTTTGTCGGACCATCTCCATCATGACTACTACTTGTTCTGATGTGACTCTTACAAGCATGATGGTAATGCACCACCTACTGCAACTAGAAATTTTTGTCCTAATAACTTCAACTTCATTCTCAACATCGACCACGACAGGCGCAGTTATGAAGTAGCCATCATGTGGATTCCCTATCTAGCGACTCTCTTGTTTCCATATCTGGTAAGAGCGTTTCTAACAATGCATGCGCGCATGAGTTGCGTGACTTTTATCTGCTCTCATGTAAAAGGACTCCCTGGCGGCCGCGCCAACTTCAACTTCATTCTCAACACCGACCACAGGCGCAGCACCAGCCCAGCAAAGCATGCCTGGAGAGCAAAGCTTGCGAGGACAGGATTCAACATCCAGACGGCGAAACAACTCTGCAGCATCAAAGAAACAAGAGTGCTTTTTTTTGTGTTTTACTTTTTCATGGTTCTGTCGAATATCTGAATAAAACAACCGGTTCGTTTTTACCTCTAGCGTGTAGCCCTTCCAACAATATCTGAAGTTTCTCAGTAAGACAATTTCTCTTGCAGCTAAGTAGTTCCTTAAGAAAAATGCTCCTCATCCGACTACTCGAGGTTCACGTTCACCTACCTTTGCCTGTTTGTCATAGTCTTCACACCGCCAACCACCAGGATGGTCCTCGATAAGAGTCTCCATATGTGGAGAGAAGCAGTGGTAGAAGTTGGAGCCAACGTTAGAGACCTTAAGGTGTCGGAGCGTGTGACCTACGATCTCCATCGATGCCTGATTTGCGGCACTGAGATTGAGTTCATGTGTGAAGGTACTTTCTTGGGGTTCAAGAGATGACCACTCTATTAAGTCTACAGTCTGTTACTACAGTTGAACAGATACAGAAATAATGCGGATCAATAACATTGTTTGCATGTATGCTACAGATTTTGGATGAATTATTTTACGAATAGGTTCCTTCGCCAGTGGATCTTTCATCTCTCATCCGGGCGTCATCCACCATCAGTCTCGTTCTAATTACATTCTGATCCTCCTTCCCTGACATGTTTCTCTCGAAGGAACGAACCTGTCACCTCAACACAAATTTCACTTGATATTATACCTTTTTTTCCTAGTTATTGTTATGGTAGAGTTAGAGTTAGAGCTCCACGTCCACCACTCCTATCTTCATACATCCAGGTCAACTCGTAAAATCCCTTCGCGTCGGATCGAAAGTATGGTCTCCATCCCAGCAGGACTGGGTGGATTCCGCGAACTCCATAGTGCAACAAAAGCCTTTACCTATACTAGAATGCCTTCAACTCCTTGTTTCTACCCAAGGGGAGCATATTCAGATCGGTGGTGGCGGTGGTGGGTCACAGCAACAGGATCAAGTTCAAGACCAATTAACTCAAGCGGGTGCAGATCACGATGCTGGTAATGTAACCAGCAGAAGTACGGATTCCACCACCACGTCGAATACAACAGCATCTAAGATGGATGGTCATGTTCCAGGAGGTGGCAACACTAGTCCGAGACGTGCTTCCACAACAATTAGGGCTACCGCTAAGGCATCCTCAGCACTGTCCTTGGCTCTTTTTCAATACTTGAACAGGAAGCCAAGGATGCTCCCAGGGATGCGAAGGCGGTAGCTCCTCTAAAACAAGTTCTATTTGCAGCACTACAACTGCTGCGAACAACGTCAGCAATCCTGCTGCACCGCAAAGCTTAGAACAGGCTATGGCCATCACAAATCAAAGGCCCATCTTCCGCAGGAACCGACGAGCGTGGGACTGGCCATTAATTACGGCCACCATCTGCGATCTGGAACATCTTTTAGCCCATCTGTGAGCTGTTTTCAAAGAGGAAAGCAGATGTGAGGGAACAAAAGATGGATTGATGTTGTAGAAGTGAGTTCTAAATTAAGCCGCGAATGCTACCGGATGCGCTTTGTTGAAGTGCTTAAGAGCGAATGCTCCGCTCTGGCCGAAGAGCGGGATACAGTGGTGAACGAATACAGCGACTTGAGTGCGGAGAGGGATTCGTTAGCGGCGAAGTTGGACTCTATTCATGGCGCGCTAGGGATGAAGTGATGGGAAAATGAACAACATTCTTCATGATCTTGTTGTGAAGAAAGAGTGTTGTGAAGAAAGAGTCCCTGGAGAAAGAATAGCCAAGCTAGAGTAGAATTCTGAATTCATATTCATCGAAAATTGAACGTGAACGGAATCATATCAGATGTTGTGATTCCTAAGTAATCCTATGAACACAAACAGTGCTGTGGTTGACGTTGCCATGTTGTTGATATTTCGTTATTCATGCGATAGAGGAAGGAAAAATCGCACATCAAAACACGTCTGATATTAAGCGGACAAAGCAACAAGAATATCACTCATCATCGCACGAATAAGAGTGATCGGACCTCCTCCAGCATAGTGCGCTCAGAACCTCTTCAACATGGAATATGATTCAGATTTTGCTTGACCGCCAATGCACCATAAAAAGTTTCCTCGTGGAAGCAATAACATGAACACTTGTTCGTCTTCATCGTGGAACGGCGCAGACTTACTACTGTTCCATCTCGTGGTGACGGTGACATGGACCTCTCACGAAAAACAACGGATCTGGATCTCTAGCTCTCTGTGATTCGAAGCGATCATCTGCCAGTCTTGCTGAAATAGCAACGTAGCTCAGCAAGCACAAGAAGATGAACGGTTGATGAACGTGAAGAACAAGGATCAAGAACGAGCTTTCATCTGAAATGTGAGCAATTCCTCCTTCTTGTCCAAATACTAGAAATAGATAGGCTCACTGCAAGGAAAATACATTTAACCTACTTCTATGTCTGTCGACGTTCTAGTCACTAGTGCTGTAATGACTGTGCCTTTTCAGGTTGCTCGACGTGGGTCATATCTGAAAGTATCTTTTCTCTCTCGTACCGCAACCACAGTAGGGAGATTTTTTACCACGTCTTCAAGAACAATTGACATTTCTGCACCTCGTCTAGTAGCTAATCAATTACACAACTTCCAACAACCAAGCTCTACTGGCACTTCTTCTTCCCCCAGACGGACTTTTTCTTCCTCCCCAAACATCAACGAAAAAAAGATGCCGGCCACGATTTTCGATAAGATCCTGGACAAGGAGATTCCCTCCGAGTGTGTCTACGAGGATGATGTCTGCTACGCCTTCAACGACATCTCTGCGCAAGCTCCGATTCACTTCCTGGTCATTCCGAAGGCTCGCGACATTCCCCGTATCTCCGAGGCCGATGAAAAGAAGCACAAAGAGATCTTGGGACATTGCATTATGATAGGAGGAAATCTTCGTATCTAATATTATAAGTATTGAACAATTTTACTATGAGTATGTATATAAGTATATCCATATCGTATCTAATATTATAAGTATTGAAGAATTTTTACTTATTTGAGTATGAAGTGAAGTAGTTTGCAAAAGGAGAATTTAGGTGAAGTATGTGTATCTGTATGGATTAGTATGGAGAGAGAGATAGTTGAGGAATGGAATTGGAAAGAATGAATGAAATGATACTGTTTTTGGTCGTGCTGGTTAGTTAGTCCCTTAACGCCTAACGGGAGCCTCCTCTTCTCTTTCCTTCCACCCCTTGAGCCGACTTCTCTTCTCTTTCATTCCGCTGTACATCGCTGGCAAAGTTGGACGTGAAAAGTGCGGAGAAGACGGCTTCCGCGTTGTGGTGAACGACGGCGAGAAAGGTGGTCAGACTGTCTACCATCTCCATCTGCACGTTTTGGGTGGACGCCAACTCACCTGGCCACCGGGTTAAGCGTTTCAACCGCACTTTAACTGACAGTATAAGAGTGGAGACTGGAGAAAAGCGATTTATTTGATATTTCTTGGTTTAGGTAGGAGTCAGTGGATGTGGAGAAAGGTGGAAGCACAAGCACAAGCAGGAAGTGTTTTGACATTTCTTCCTCTAGGTAGGAGTGGACGTGGAGAAAGATGGAAGCAGGAAGCTGCTTGCGTGGACGAGAGGGAGAATGTTGGAAGCAGGAAGCCGCTTTCATGTTTGTCAAGTGCTGTTTGCTTTCTTAAAACGAAACGCATAAAGAAGATAAAGGTGACTTGGAGTCGGTGGAGAAGATTTGAGGGTCTATCCTCACACAACATATTCAATACATGACAAGAGCGACGCACTTCATTGCGAGCAGACGACCAAGTAGAAGGTGTCCTTTTTTTTTATTCTGGGAGGTCATCGTCATAATAACAGCTGACAGGCAAGCGCCAGTGTTCTTCATCTTCAATTATAGCAAAGTTTTTTTTTCAAGTAGCTTGCTAGTGAACCTACCTGGTAGAGCAACACCTAACCTGACCCCAAGTAGTCTGCGAGAACAAAAATGCGGCACAGACTGTGTAGACAGAAGACAAGCGAGAGAGGAGAGTGATTTATCTCAAAGAGCCGTCTTGCATGAAGCACCCCACTCACCAGATGGACACTTTCTTTTATGTTGATTCAGAATCTTTCCTCCTTCTGTAATGATTATTGACAGCCCAGGAGCTAGGCTCGTGAATGATACTTTTCATCAAGAGCTAGTAGCCGTAGCGTCATCGCCTCTATGATACCTTCAAGAGCAAAGATCGAAGTTACTAGGGACACAAGTATAACCACAACCTCAACTACTAGCACGGACACTACTAGAACCACAAGATGATCAATCGAGCACCGCTCGAGCGGCTGTCGGGCGAGGATAAAGACACGAAGTTACCCAGTTGCGAAATGACCATGACGGGCGAAAATTTAGAGGGCACACTGCGAGGCCGAAGCCGCCAAAAAACGCCATCTCTTACGACTAGCATTTCAAACTTTTTAGGTAGGTTTTGTAGGGCTTCCAAGCACGACGCCTGGGCAACGAGCACTTCACCAGTTACTTCTATGTATTAGAAGTTTTCTTCCTGAATCATATGATGACAGACACATGCCTCTTGCTTCTAAGATCAGTCGCAAGCAGAAAAGCCTTAATCACGTCTCTCGGGGGGTTGTTGCAGAAAAGGCCAGACGCTTCCGCTCATGCTCGCGACGCTCTTCGATTATTATGTGACAAAGTTCTTCTTCTTGTTGTTGTTGCTGACACAAAGTTCTCGATGACTTTCTTGGGTTCGCAATACTCAATTTCAATATTTTCTGCTACTAGAAGATTAAGATAGAACCGCTGTCCTTACACTTACTTCTCCAGCTCATCCTCTAACTATTTCTCGATTGGTGCTACGTCGCGTCTTGCGTTGGCCCTACAGGAGCCGAACTCGAAGTCGCGGACGAGCAAACAAAAGCGAGCGATGGAGCAGACGGATGATGATCAGCAAGAAAGCGAGGGTGGCGACACTGACGTTGATGCTCCACTGGATCTGACAGGTTTAAGGCTTACCGAACTACGCTCTGATCCATCTTCAGAGAAGTCATCCTCCTAGGAGAGAGGCTTTATTTCAAGGAGAAACGAAGAACTACAGGATGCTTCAGCTTCTCAGGAAAATGGTTTGGGTGAGGTCTAACAAGTTGTGAGGTAGGTGACAGTAAAAGCAGTTGTATCCCGCATTCGTTTCTAGACGCGACAGCCAGTCACGCGACTGCGGAAGCCACGGTTTTGTGCACATCTGCACTGTGTGGATCTTCGTTGCCCACTGATGTGGGCAGCACAGGTGCGGCATACTCATTGTTTACTCTGGCTGTTTGAGAAAACAGGAAAATATAAAGAATGTTGTAAGTAGATTCTTATTCTATTCCTATTGATAACACTAACAGCTACTACAACTACCTAATCAATGGTCAGACTCGTATTCCTTATCGCGTAGTAGCTAATGTTATCATTAGACCATTTCAAATGTTTGAGCAGATTGAGTCTCAAAAAAAGAAGTCTACTTCGGTCCATGATGTCCTGACGTCACTCACCTCAGACGGCGCACCCGCGGCGTTAGGTCAACATAGAAAGCCTGAGAGCACACCACAAGCACAAGCACGAAGCGAAAGACTGATTATGGCCAACAACAACTACAACAGAATACGAGATAATAAGTCGATAGTGGAGAACGAAGCTGCATAGTTGAGGAAAGTCGTACTTTCCACTTAGTAAATCGTAATGAGGAATTTGGGCTAAGTGCCATGTCCATCATGCGGCAAGTTTCTAAGAAGGAGATTTCGCATGATACCCTCCAGACGAAATATAGCAAATGTGCAAATGGTGTGAAACAATTGAACGCCCGGCTTAAAGCGATCGCAAATCGGAGGACAAGTAGCGAAGAACCAGTGATGAAAGTAGAGCGTCTACCTCCACCAATCACTGGAACGGTAACAGTCTCCGGAATTCAAAACTGGCTGCTCAACATCGTAGAGAGCATGTCGAAAAACCTTCAGTTGTCTGACCCCGTTTTTAAGTTATGGGCTGAGGCGTTTCGTTTCTACGTGGTCCTTTGTAATGGGCCGAAGCCTTCCAGATATTATGCCCCTGGCAGGCTTGTCCCTGTTGTTGTGGTAGTGGTGTTACCGAGTAACACCCAAAACCGAAATCGCGTGCGTTTTCATGTTGTTCGTTTTCTTATGGTGGTACGGTACTGCGTGGCCATCCATAACCATCGCCGGGCGTCATCTTATGGGGGCCCCTATTGGAATAAGGACCCCGGCCGCGATGATCATCGTCAGAAGACTCAGAGACTTGCGCCTTAGTATAGGACTCACATCACTCACCGAGAACAATCGGAAGGAGAAAGACGAACACAAGCGGAGAACCATCAGACCACTAAGGAAGAACCAAGCGACCCAATTCAGGGAGTGCGGAACGCTGAGCGATTCGGCTGGGCCTTGGTCTTCATGTGTAACATTCTCCCCCCCCAAATGTCTCCGCTGACGGACTTGCTGGATTAGTTGCAAGAGTTAAAAACCTTAGCACCACTAGGGGGGCTAGGCGACTGGGGTTCGTTACTTTAGGGCTGGGGAGTGAGACGCCACCAGCCTAATGCAAGGACAAACTACAAAAGTAGACACATAGCGAATGCCCTTAACCTCAAAGAAAATGGCGCAGCCTTGGAGCCTTTCTAAAGATTTCGGCGAAGTCTCTAGAAAAGTTCTGACCTTTGCGCTTTCTCTCCAAAAAAGTGCAGAGTAAATTCTTCCACAGATCCAGGACTGCTTACTTGTCTACTTTTGTAGTTTGTCCAATGATGGAGAGGCAGAGACTTTTGCTGGCTGAGAAATATGCAGGGCGCAGCAAATGCAAAAAAACTGCAACTAGGCTAAGCTAGTCCCCCCCCCTTCTTCTTCTCGTAGTCTTTTCCACTGGTTTCTTCTTCTTTTCTTCTCGTTTCTCCTTTGTCCAGGTAATCCATGTCACCACGGGACTGAGCTGGGTTGGCTTTGTTGTGCTGCTCTTTACCGGCGTGCCATGCCTGCTTGCCGCGGTCGCCACGAGCCTGAGCGCGTCTGTGAGTTTGGGACTTGTGAAAAAAATGGGCCTTAGACTAGCACTAGCGCTCCTCTCTGCGCCATGTATAATATAGAACGGCATCCATAGAGCTGAGTCTCCCAGAGACTGGCTACGTGGGGCCATCTGCCCCCGCCAACCTTGTGGGGCAGTGGCGACATCGATCAACCAGATCGCACATGGGGCGCAGTCTGCTTTGGTAGTGTTTACTTCTTGCACATTTGAGCCCTTGTGCCGCTTGGTCTGGTGCTGGTCTGTTGTCAGCGTCAACCCGTTTGGGAGGAGTATTGGCATAGCCTTCGCCCCTGCGCTGTGCTTGGTGCAATATTTATCAGCGAAAGCGATGCGATAGCGATTGGCTGCGCGTACTGAATTGATTTGGACTTAGCTACCGTCACGGCATGAGGTGCAGATAGTGCCGCGATCGTTTGCCGCTTGGACCTCCAAGCCACGCAAGCGCCGCACTGCGTCACCGTCGTGCTTGTAGTTGGCTTGCTTGTGGGCGGACGTCCCTGACTGAGAGTCCGCACCAGAAAAGGCCCCGATAGGAGCCATCTCGCGTCCTGGTTCGGGCTCGCTGCTCACGGAAAGGGAGGCGTCGGCCCGTAGTTCGTCTGGTATGTTTTCCAGCTAGTCGGCGTCCACTCGACACCCACAGCCAATGCGCCCCGAAGGTGCCCCATTAGTTACCCTCCCCAGCGTGGGCTGCTTCTGGATCTTGTGGCCTTTGAGAGGACGCCAAGCCGCTGAATTGATTCACCGCCTCGGTGATGTCTGGCCCAGGCGAAAGACTTAGGTGCATCAACTCACCGACCGCGGGCCTCTCTGCTGCTCCATTCAGAGTCTGCTTGGTTCTTCTTCACCCTTTTCCCCGTCTTGTCTTCTGGCTGTTCTTCGGCTTCGTCTTGTCAGACTCTGAGCTCACAGCGGCTTCGCTGTCGCTCTTATCGGTGTGAAAGAATAGCAGAAAAGCCCGCAAGTGCAATCTCATCCCTGGGCCTTGCCTTCTCCTTGGCTTCCTTGGCCAATTGATGCCATTGGTCTGATGCCTCGGGCGCGATGGGGTATACTTCGTTCTCGGCACAGTCGAACGCGTTCCACTTTTTCGCAATGTTTGTGGCTTTGCTCTCACCTTGGGAGTTAGTCTATCGCCCCCAAGCGCCTGTCGCCGCTTTTGGTAGTTTCGTAGTGGATGTCCACGCTGATCTCTACAAAATCAGGCGTGTGTTTTTCGCGTGTCTCGCTGCGACACTCGACTGATACCGCCATAGGCTGGCGCCGAGCCGAGCTCCTTCCTGACGCTGACCCGGCTCGCATAGTCCTTGGCAGTTTTGTCCGTCGCTTGCCTTGCTCGGCTTCTTTATTGCTGTGGCTATGATGTCATCCGCTTCCACATAACCCACCAGCATCGCGCTAGCTTTGCTTTTTGAGTCTGTCCGCTCCGTGTGATAGTAGGCGCCGCCTTCTCTACGTGATGTCGTCCCCCCCATTCGCGAAATTTCTTATCGGCTGCCTAGCTTGTTCCAAGCGTGCGGCGATTGCTTAAAACTATAGAGAGCCTCTGTAGCTACTTCCGCAGGGTCTCCGTCACCTTCTAGGGATTCCGCTGGAAGTCTGACCCGTTCCGGCTCGGGAAGGTCTGCCTTGGTAAGTGCATGCGCCACGTCAGCGCGGTCCATTTCTCAGCCATGCTGAGCCGCGTGAAAAATGTGACGCCTCGCGCCCACTGAGTGTGCTCGGCGTCGGTGAAAAGATTTCGCCACTCGTGAGGTTCTGCGTGGAACCATCTGCCACCAGCCGCGACCTCCGTCGCCCACAGCGCTGCCGCCCACAAATCAATCACGTGGGTGCGCGCGCGGTGGGCGCTTTCTCTGAAGAAGCGACTGGTCTGCCAGTGGATCTCTCTCACGCCAACGCTCAGCATCTACGTACAGCACAAGCCCCGCAACCTCTTTGCTTTCGATCAGCTTCTTCCCAAAGGTTTGCCCCACGCCCCCCCTGGTGCGTGGCTTCTTTTCTCGATATGGGAGCAGGTCTTCGCTCTGAAGCTGTGGCTGAATCGTGTGCGTTTGCGTCGACGTGGTTGAGCCTCTTCTCAGGCTTTGACCTACCGCGCGTCTGTTCACTACAGGGCCCATGGGTGATCTTGCTGATTTTCTTCGGAGCGTCCCCGCCCTTGTGCGTTTTGCGCTTCTTCGTGTCCTTAGCTAGGCCCCTTAGGTCTACACTGTCCGCGCTTCGCTTGTGGCTGTTCTGGCGTGGTTTCTTTTGCTTTTCTGTCTGTCACTGTCGGGGGCTTGCCTTGCAGCTGTTCCGCTTGTGTTTGTTCCACGTCTCTGCTCGAGGGTTCTCGGATGGACTTTGTCGCCAGTGCCGATTCCACCGGGAGAAACAAACTCCACCAGGCGCGTCTTCCCCGGCCAGAGGGTTTTGCCCAGACGGCCTTGGGCTTTGTTTTTGCTCTTGCAGCTTCGCCCCCCTGGGCTTGCTCTTTGTCTGCTGAGGGTGCCGCACCTCCTCAGCCCTTGGGCTGTCTCTCTTTGCTGTTGATTCATCGCCAAGGCCTTCTACCTTCGATTCTTGCGCCACAGCTTCCAGCCCTCCCTCTTGCTTGCCATAAGTTGTAGGCTGAAGTGCTCCATTTCTACGCGCTCCTTTTTAATGGGCCGAAGCCTTCCAGATATTATGCCCCTGGCAGGCTTGTCCTTGTTGTTGTGGTGGTGGTGTTACCGAGTAGCGCCTGCATCGACCTAAATAGCGTGCGTCTTCATGTTGTTCGTATCCTTATGGCTGTTCTGTACTGAATGGCCATCCATAACCATCGTCGTGCGTCATCTTGAGGGGATTCTTATTGGCATAAGGATCTCGGTCGCTATGATCATCATCAGAAGACTCAGGGCCTTGGGCTTTATCGGATTCACATCATACAGCGAGAACATTCAGAAGGAGAAAGACGAGCACAAGCGGAGAACCAACAGACCAAGAAGGAAGAGCCAGCCGATTCCATTCAGGGAATCAATGCGGAACACCGAGCGACTTGGTTAGGCTTTCGCTTTCGTGCGTAACGTCTTCTCTCTTGAAGTTGCTGGCTGAAAGTGAATTGCTTCAGCTTTCTGCTCTTTCTAACAGAGAACCGGCTGGAAGGGATAGCAGAGGATCTGTCCTCGGAGCCGTCTCTGGATCGGACTCTGTTCGATGTTGTCGATGAGAGCCTCTTTATGCTGGACCAGAAGCTTATGAGCGGCAACAGGATACTAAACAAAATTTACTAAAGACTCTTCAGTAAGAAGACCTGTGCTGCATCGAGAAGATGTAGTGGTCGGTTGGGAAGTTATATTTAAAATTCATTGTGGTACCCTTTTTTGCCGTTATCTTAATTAATTGTTTTAGGATTATGACTCCCCTCCCCTCTTGTTTGTCTTCTCGTCCTTGAGATATTTCGTTCGTCGATCATGATTCTTGCTTACTACTATAAATGTTAATAACATACTGTGGCATATTTAGTTTAAGAAAATGCCAGTGGAGGATGGCGTCAGAGGGGATAATATGTATTGAGGGCGTGCTGCTGTTGCTTAACCTTAAGAAATTGGAGGCTATAATTGAGAAAATGTCCTCGACTATACGAGAGACGATGCTGGGGATGGGGCAAGTGTTTCTATGTATTTTTCAGGAAGTGTCTACTACTTCCATTGCGTAGTTCTGAAAAGCAGGGCTGTAGTAGATTTCTAATCAAGTTGCGGAGCTCTATAGCCTGTATGAGTGGGACGAGCGCATCACAGAGTTCGTTAACTTATATGAAGAGTTTACTCCGAAGCCGGACCCGGACCCGGTCGGCAAAGCACCAGGCATGGGCGTAGAGCAAAATATGCGAGAAGAATGGCTCGAGAGAAGCTTGGCTGGAGTCATGCACTATTTGGTGAACACGCAGAAATACGCTTTGAATCTAAGTCCGCAGCTGGAAAAGGAGATTGGCTTATTCGAGGTGTACATCAACCAGGGTGAGCCACATCGTGTTACTCTTCGCGGCACTTTGGATGATATCAAACTCTGCCTCGAATCTTTGCGCCGGTTCATTATGGTCAACATTCTTACAAGAAGATAGGGTAAGGGACAGGAATTTGTCTTGACGAGATGTCGGTAGCTGAAGGGAAGAAATGTCATTGAGAGAACGCTGTTGGATAAGATAACAACTTTTACTTAATGTCTAGTCCCGTTTCATAAACGAGGAAGTAGTCGTAGATATTAAGAGTGGGAGTGGGTATAATACCATCATAATGTCTAGTGCATTCACATGGAAGCTGCAGATTTCTAATAAAGAGTCTGTCCAAGAAGAATCAATCAAGTTCCGCAACCTCAAAGAAGCAATTGGCAAGACCCTTGCAGAGCACGGTGTTCAGGAGCTTCCCGCTGTGGACCAAGAACCGAAGATAGGAACTGAAGAGTATGAACCCTGGCTCCAGAAAAGCGTGCGCCAGTTCATGACCTATTTGGTGGCGGAGAAGCAGGCTCACATTCCACTATGTGATCGCACATCAAATGTGGAGGATTGTACGATCATGACAAAGGAAGGCATAGAGCGAGATCTGTCCGCCGAGTCTCCGGGCTTGAAACATGTCGAACGCTACCTCGTGGCCCTTGAGGAGATGTGGCTTTTTATGATCGACAATCACAATAAATTAATTTGAGAAAAGTGTCTATGACCTTTTGAGGAAGTGCCCTTCTTCCATCTCAAGGAATAGAACATAGAAAGATGTCGGTTGTAATGAGGATATAATGACATCAACTTCCACCACGCACCAGTGGAGGCATCAAATTTCTAAGAATCGTCAGCAGGAGTTTGACGGCTTTGCCGACAAGTGGAGGCAGTTCTTGACGCGTAGCAGCGGGACAGACGTAGCAGGCAAATTGAGGCAAATATATCAGCCGGAAACGGCAGAGAGGGGACCAAGTGTCACGCGTGATGTGCAAAGCGAGGTACGCACGATCATGGAACGTTGGATGAAAAGCGACGTCGATGAGCGACTGCGACCTGACGAATCTACTAAGGAAAAACTTGCGTACTTGCTGGCGGCTGTTGCAGCTCAAGACCTGTACTCGTCGAACGACGTCGAAGAATTGCTCGATTCGATTACACTTATGATCCACAGTTTTTACTCAATTAAGTAAGTAGAAGGAGTGTCAATGTCATTTCATATTTATAGATACGTATGGATAAGATCATGAAAGATCCTCAGGTGAACGATATCAGTTGCTTTTACCAGGGAAGTGAGTACAATCTTCCAGGAATTGCGAATGTGATTGAATATTAGTACGGTCAAAATATTTATATTAATGGACGAGAAAGCATTGATATGATTCCCTGCGTATTATGTTGTACTGCTGAACGGCATTTACTGAGAAAGTACATGATAAAAGGACAATTCAAACTTCTCGTGCGATGCTGTTGCAGGATAAACATTCTAATCTTGGTCGGATCGACGCAGGTCTGAATGATTTACTGACTGAGATCCCGTAGGCAACAGCCAGGCCTAACTCGAAGATCATAAAGAGGAGCGGGCACGACGAGCGAACACCCTTCCACCTTTACAGTTATAGGTATTGACGTCGATGATTTATATCTTTAGCTTCATACACACCCAAAGTCAAAAAAAATTGACACCATCAAACCAAGCACGCTTTTTTTTTTCAAATTTCCCAATTCGAATTCCTCGAATAACGACTCAGACTCTTTCATATTCAAACTCTTCTATACAACTTAGTTTTATCTCAACACTACACTTACACAGGCACAACTTAAACGAAGACGAATGTCGAATAGAAGCGCAAGCTTGTTCTATGTATTCCTGAGCGTCCTAATTTCAAGCTGGGGCGAGGTCCTGCCGAGAACGATGAAGTTTGGCGAAAATCTGTCACGCATGTGGTAAACGACGTGAAGAAGAAACAATGAGCACCCACTGAATGAAGAGCAAGGTACTTGATCCGTAGTTCCAAATGCATGATAAACATGAAGAACAAAGCACTCTTTATGAATTTTGATTTTCATAATTTTGTAGTTCTTCTAGTATGACACGACACAGGACGTGACTCAACATGATGATCACCTCGTGGCAACACATCAGACGTACTTCATTTACCCAACGCCAACAGGTACTGTCGATTATTCTTTCAAGAGCATCTTGAATGTTGGAAAACGGTGCATGGTGATAAAGAGACTACTTATGATCGTGTGAATCACAAAGTCTATCATGATATACCCAGAATTTGTGTCTAATGACGAAGTCGATGTGTATTTTTTCAGGAATTTAGCCCTCTCCTAACAACGAAGGAATGATATACTCAACTATTTCTATGACCGACATGCGGTTTCAAAACTACCTCTGACTGTTAGAATCTGTATCGAAACCAGTACCTATGAATAAATTTAACCAACCATGAAGACTCAAAAGTAATTTATGAAGTAGGTAGGACAAGCTCTCCAGAAGCATTTCACATACCAAGTTTTTTTTTGTATTCGTTTGCATCTATCCTTGCTCATGGTGTAAGAATGTGCGACCAGGAATGCGAATGATTCGTCAGGACCAAATTATCATGATAATCATGCTCAAGTCTCTAAGCTGTAGATATGATATACTCGTCTTGTGCTTGTGCACATTTTTATCTCACTTGCGGGCCAAAGCGTCTAATACAAATTTGTCCTTGTACACGAACTAATGGTCTAATAAGATCAATTTAAGATGTCTTTCTTACAAATTTTTGACCCTTGTACACTGTCCGAAAATTTTGAAGCTGTAAAACTTCCTTGTACACTCAAGCTCAAAATCAGAGCATCTAAGATGAAGAATTATCCTTGTACACTTATCAATATATTAGATGATGCTCGTAGTCAGTAAAGAACTCCACAGACAAATTGTAATTGCTTAGTGCGAAATAAATCATTTTTGGGTCCTCTTCCTCAGGTTTGTTAATCTAACATGTTCACTTCGTCCACGAAGAGACTTGTTGGCAACACGTGCCTAGTTGTACACACAGATGATACAGAATTTCTACAAGAGACACCTTTGTTACACACAGATACGCAATTTCTACAAGAGAAACCTATGTAGTGACGAATGGCAATACTTTCGAGATTTTTCAAGAAGAAACTTTCGAGAAATTATATACACCCAGATATTTTTCAACTTCAAGCTAAACAAACTGAAATCAATCAAACCTTTTCTGGCTCTGGCACTTGTTCTCCTTTCCTCAGAAGAACTTTTTCTTCCTCGCCAAGGCAAAGAACAGCGAACAAAAGATGCTCGCCACGATTTTCGATAAGATCCTAGAAAAGGAGATGCCCTCCAAGTGTGTCTACGAGGATGATGTGTGCTAAACCTTCAACGACATCTCTCCGCAAGCGCCGACTCACTTGGGACATTGCATTATGAGAAAGAAAAGCGAAGTGTTCTAATATCACTGTTGGTCGTAGGTCGTGGAAAAATGAAGATGAGCATCAATCGTTCTATTTGAGCTCGTCCATTGATGTGTTCCGTTTTAGTTCTAGCTGTTGCTGTTGGTACGAGAACAATAATTATCATCGCGGAGTAGAAGCAGAAGGATCCATCACCCTCTTGCTATTCGAGAAATAAACTATCATTTTCACCTGTCATAGTCCTTTAACCGGAACCTCCTCTTCTCTTTCCTTCCACCCCTGGCTTGAACCGACTTCTCTCCTCTTTCATTCCCCTGTACATCGCTGGCAAAGTTGGACGTGAAAAGTGCGGAGAAGACGGCTTCCGCGTTGTGGTGAACGACGGCGAGAAAGGTGGTCAGACTGTCTACCATCTCCATCTGCACGTTTTGGGTGGACGCCAACTCACCTGGCCACCGGGTTAAGCGTTTCAACCGCACTTTAACTGACAGTATAAGAGTGGAGACTGGAGAAAAGCGATTTATTTGATATTTCTTGGTTTAGGTAGGAGTCAGTGGATGTGGAGAAAGGTGGAAGCACAAGCACAAGCAGGAAGTGTTTTGACATTTCTTCCTCTAGGTAGGAGTGGACGTGGAGAAAGATGGAAGCAGGAAGCTGCTTGCGTGGACGAGAGGGAGAATGTTGGAAGCAGGAAGCCGCTTTCATGTTTGTCAAGTGCTGTTTGCTTTCTTAAAACGAAACGCATAAAGAAGATAAAGGTGACTTGGAGTCGGTGGAGAAGATTTGAGGGTCTATCCTCACACAACATATTCAATACATGACAAGAGCGACGCACTTCATTGCGAGCAGACGACCAAGTAGAAGGTGTCCTTTTTTTTTATTCTGGGAGGTCATCGTCATAATAACAGCTGACAGGCAAGCGCCAGTGTTCTTCATCTTCAATTATAGCAAAGTTTTTTTTTCAAGTAGCTTGCTAGTGAACCTACCTGGTAGAGCAACACCTAACCTGACCCCAAGTAGTCTGCGAGAACAAAAATGCGGCACAGACTGTGTAGACAGAAGACAAGCGAGAGAGGAGAGTGATTTATCTCAAAGAGCCGTCTTGCATGAAGCACCCCACTCACCAGATGGACACTTTCTTTTATGTTGATTCAGAATCTTTCCTCCTTCTGTAATGATTATTGACAGCCCAGGAGCTAGGCTCGTGAATGATACTTTTCATCAAGAGCTAGTAGCCGTAGCGTCATCGCCTCTATGATACCTTCAAGAGCAAAGATCGAAGTTACTAGGGACACAAGTATAACCACAACCTCAACTACTAGCACGGACACTACTAGAACCACAAGATGATCAATCGAGCACCGCTCGAGCGGCTGTCGGGCGAGGATAAAGACACGAAGTTACCCAGTTGCGAAATGACCATGACGGGCGAAAATTTAGAGGGCACACTGCGAGGCCGAAGCCGCCAAAAAACGCCATCTCTTACGACTAGCATTTCAAACTTTTTAGGTAGGTTTTGTAGGGCTTCCAAGCACGACGCCTGGGCAACGAGCACTTCACCAGTTACTTCTATGTATTAGAAGTTTTCTTCCTGAATCATATGATGACAGACACATGCCTCTTGCTTCTAAGATCAGTCGCAAGCAGAAAAGCCTTAATCACGTCTCTCGGGGGGTTGTTGCAGAAAAGGCCAGACGCTTCCGCTCATGCTCGCGACGCTCTTCGATTATTATGTGACAAAGTTCTTGTTCTTGTTGTTGTTGCTGACACAAAGTTCTCGATGACTTTCTTGGGTTCGCAATACTCAATTTCAATATTTTCTGCTACTAGAAGATTAAGATAGAACCGCTGTCCTTACACTTACTTCTCCAGCTCCTGCTCTAACTATTTCTCGATTGGTGCTACGTCGCGTCTTGCGTTGGCCCTACAGGAGCCGAACTCGAAGTCGCGGGCGAGCAAACAAAAGCGAGCGATGGAGCAGACGGATGATGATCAGCAAGAAAGCGAGGGTGGCGACACTGACGTGGATGCTCCACTGGATCTGACAAGTTTAAGGCTTACCGAACTACTGATGCTGATCCATCTTCACAGAAGTCATCCTCCTAGGAGAGAGGCTTTATTGCAAGGAGAAAAGAAGAACTACAGGATGCTTCAGCTTCTCGGGGGTTTAGGAATTAGGGTGAGGTCTAACAAGTTGTGAGGAAGCCGACAGTAAAAGCAGTTGTATCCCGCATTCGTTTCTAGACGCGACAGCCAGTCACGCGCCTGCGAAAGCTACGGGTTCGTGCACATCTCCACTGTGTGGATCTTCGTCGCCCACTGATGTGGGCAGAACAGGCACTGCTGCTTACTCACTGTTTATTCTGGCTGTTTGAAAAAACAAGAAAATAGAAAAAATGTTGTAGACTCTATTCCTATTGATAACAGCTACTACAGGCACAGCTACCTAATCAATGGTCAGACTCGTATTCCTTAGCGCGTAGTAGCTAATGTTATCATTAGACCATTTCAAATGTTTGAGATTAAGTCTGCTCAAAAGTAGAAGTCTACTTCGATCCATGATGTCCTGATGTCCTCTAGCAATGTTACTCATGATTAATTATACCCACCACCTCAGACGGAGACGGCGCACCCGCGGCGCCAGATCAACAAATGAAGCCTGAGAGCATATGGGAATCAATAGTAGTATACTGAACTCAACTTAATCGATGCAGATAGTCTCACTCTAAGAGCGGTTTCCAGTTGGGAACGATGTTCCGACTGGGTCGAGGATCGTGGTCGGGTTGTAGGTCAACCGCGCGACCCGCGGGTAGGTTACGCGGAGGCTTCAGCATCAGCTACCCAGTTTGGATGAGTTGTCTCGCAGCTGGTAGCCAGGAACTAGACAGGAGCATGCCGGGCGGGTCGCTAGTGTATGGGTTCTGCTTGAGCAGTTTCTAGAATGTTCTTGCGTAAGAACATCCCAGGAGGGCAGGCGTGCACGACCTAGGGGAGAAGGGTAGCTGGACAGAAAACGGTAGGGGGTCTCGTCGGTGTAGTCGAGAGACTGAGCATCGTTCTCGCTACGAGTATAGCGACGAGGTCACTCTAGTGTTGAGTAATACAGTGGGGCTGTCATCATGGGGCGGGAACAGTGGAGCCGGGTGGGCTTGTCTGTGTCTCGACTCGGCTAGGTGCCCGAACCTGAGTGCAGAGGTACTCGGGGTAGGGGAATGAGAGGCCAGGGGCGTCAGTGCTTGAAGTTGAACGGCATGGCGTTGGTATGGTTGTGCAAGAGGGTGGCACAGTGGCGCCACCGCGCCGGACAGCACATCTACGAGGAGGGTGCTGGCGCTTCATCGTGAAGGAGGGGCGACAAAGACCGGGCCCGAGGTGTCCAACGGGTCCCAGACCGTGTTCGACTGGGTTGTGAGGAATAAGACGGCACTCCTCTACTCATTATAGAAGCTTGCGAAAGTGGTCCCCGTCTTGACTGAGAATCAGTAGGTTGGTGCTGCTATTACTGTGTAGGAACTTCTGTCAGGTTTTATCCTGGCTGCGGAGCTGTGGCCAACTCTTGTTGCCACAGCGACCAACGCGCGGGGCGCGAGCGTCTAGACTGAGGCCAGTCGAAGGCGTTTGGGCTTTTATAGTGAGGCTATTGCACCAGTGTGAGTTTGGTAAAGTATGTGCAGTTTATCAATACCACAAGCGCAAAGCGTTACACCCACCACCTCAGGCGGGAACGGCGCACCCGCGGCGTCAAGTCAACAAATAAAGCCTGAGAGCATAATATCTCCACAAGCACAAACCGTTTCACCCACCGCCTCAGACCACGAGGACAGCGCACTCGCGGCGTTAGATCAGCAAGAGCCTGAGAGCACACCAGAAACACAAAGCGAAAGAGGAGCTATGGCCAACAACTACTACAACAGAATACGGCATAATTAGCAGAAAAGTGCAGGTTTCATTCGCACTGAATATAGATGATACCGAGCAGAATCTGTCGATCGTCGATTTAGAAGTTGTTAGGTGGTTGATCTTAGAAAACGTCGATAGTGGAGAACAAAACTACATAGGTGTCTATCCGTTTAAATTGGGAAAATCATACCTAGGAACGGGAAGCAAGTGCATCGTAATGAGGAATGTGGGCTAAGTGCCATGACCATCATGCGGCAAGTTTCTAAGAGGAAGACTGAGCCTCGTACCCCCCAGACGAAATATCGCCAATGCAGAAAGGGTGTGTTACGATTGAACTTCCGGTTGCAACAAATCGCAAAGCGGAGGACAAATAGCGAGAATGAGAAACCAGTGATGAGAGTAGAACTAGGTCGACGAATCAAGGTGAGTGAGCAAACAGTCGCCAACACTCGCGACTGGCTGCTCAGCATTGTAAGGAGCATGTCGAAAAGCCTTCCGTTGCCTGACCACATTAAGTTAAGGGTTGAATTGTTTCGTTTCTACGTGCTCTTTTTCCTTAACATTGCTGGCTAAAAAGGAAATGCTTCAGCCTTTAACTAAGAACACGCTGGACGGGATAGAAACGAAAATGTCCTCGGAACCGTCCCCGGATCGGCCTCCGATTGATGTTGTCGACGAGAGCCTCGTTAATCTGGACCAGGTGCTTATGAGCAGCAACACGAACAGGATATTAAACAAAATTTACTAAAGACTCTTTATGAAGAAGACCTGTGCACGGAGAAGATGTAGTCGTCGGTTGGGAAGCTATATTAATGGAGAAACTCTCTTCTACAACTAGAGGACGAGAGACGATGGGGATGGGACAAGTGTTTCTATGTATTTTTGAGGAAGTGTCTACTGACGAACGACGGGATTGAAGTTTGTGAAGAAATGTCTACTACCTCGCCTCCATTGCGTAGTTCTGAAAAGCAGGGCTGTAGATTTCTAATCAAGTTACGGAGCTCTATAGACTGTTTGAGTGGGACGAGTGCATCACAGAGTTCGTTAACTTATATGAAGAGTTTAAGCCGGTCCCGGACGGCGGTGGAGGAGCCTCGTCTCTTCCAGCTTTGGGAACAGCACCAGAAATGGGCGTAGAGCAAAAAAAGCGAGAGGAATGGCTCGACAGAAGCTTGGCCGCATTCATGAACTATTTGGTGAACGGGCAGAACTACGCTTTGAATCTAAATCCGCAGCTGGAAAAGGA